GACTTCGCGCCACCCCGGCCCCCGCGTCCTGCGAAGCCACGACCACGGGCCCCTTCTATAATCGTCGCGCGAGCGCCTCCGCGTCCTTCCCCGCGTCCACGCCCACCACTACGCCCACCGCCCATCGATCCAACCACAGGCGGTGGAGCTGCCTGCTGCGATGAAGGTACAGCGGGACCCTGCGCATGGACTGGCTTCACCGCGCTAACGGCCGAACCCGATGGACCGCCTGGAGCCACGCTTACTGTTGGACCCATGGGCATCGCCGAAACCGGCAGTCCTGCCGCAGCTCCATGGCCAAGGCGCGCCGGGCCAGATGCAGGCGGCACCGGGGGCGGCATCGATGCACTTGGAGGACGTCCCCCAGGCTGGTGGTGCTGGGGAAGCACCTGTTGCTGCTGCTGTTGCGGCGCCTGCAGTTGACCTGGCGGCTTGACGTCGAAGATGTCATCAGGCAAGTTCGGCTTCACAATTTCTTTGCTTCCCGCACCTACAGGTGGCTGCTGCGTCTGCTGAGCTGGTCCTTGCTGGACAGCACCATATCCACCCTGCACGGCAGGCTTCAGGGCAGGGTGGCTGAGAGTCTCTGACTGCTTGGTGCTGGAAGTGAAGCCCGAAGGTGACAGCGAGGGAAGACCAGCACCAAGCAAGGGATTCTGCAACGCGCCAAACGTGGCCGTTGCAGTAGCGTTACCGTCCGAGCCTCCAGTGGCATTGCTGCTAGCTGTTGAGCCCACCTGACCACCCGATCCCGAAGGCTGCACCACGAACGGTGGTGGCGGGATGCTCAGATCAACCGGACGAGGAAGCGCTGATGGTGTCAGGTTGGTGTTTTGTCCACCCAGCCCAATGGACCAGTCCGGCTGCTTGTTGGTCGGCACGAAGGGCGGCTGAATCAGGAAGTTTGTGCCAAGGCCACCGAACTGGCCACCGTGCGCCATTGGGGGAAATGGTCGCACTGGAGGGGTAAATGGGCCCCCAAAAGGACCTGGCGCAAAGGGGCCCTGTCCAATATTCAACACCAGCTGCGGCCCAGGCTGCCCAGCGCCCGTGCTGTTGCCATTATTTCCTGCTGCACTCGTGCTCATCGCGCCTGTGTTTGTAAACGACGGATTTCCAGCATTGTAGAATGGTAGTCCCGCGCTGAATGCCGCCGAGCCCGGCTGGTGCGGCTGCAGCGTGCTGTTGGCCTGACCAAAGCTCAAGGCGTTTGGCGGGCTCCAAACCGAAATGCCCGCTGGCGCCTGTCCCTGACCGGTGCTAGCTCCACCAGCTCCATGCTCAGCAGCTCCGGTGCCGAACGCACCATAGCCACCGCCGAGAGGCCCACGTCCATCCTGATTCTGTATGCCGCCAGTTGCACCAGCAGTGAAGGCCCCCAGCCCTGAGCCCATGCCCGCGGGCTTGGCAGGCAGGATCTCCAGGTTTAAATCCGCTGGCAACGCCGGCATGCCGCTATCCAGCATCTCGACACTCTTGCTTGTAATGTCTTGCTGATGCTGCACATGCGGCGAATGCTGCGCCTGCTGGTGCACATGTTGAGTGGCCGCTGCGGCAGCATACGGCTGTTGAGCCTGACTACCGTTTGATCCTGGCTTGCCCATGACGGAACGTGCCGTCTGCTGTTGCGTGGGTTGCGACGGCTTTGGGCCTATCGAGCGATCAAACACTTGGGAACCAAGACCAACAAGCGATCCGGGCGGCTTAATAGCCGGGGTTGGATCCAGGCTCACCGGCAGGTTCAGGTCAGGGACAACAGGGTCTTCCAGTGTCCGGACCGCCACGTCCGTGGCGATGTTGCTCCCCCAAGCTAGCGAGCTGTTGTTCGGGTCCGAGGCGTTTGATACTGCCGCTGCAGCAGCGGCTACAGCTGCTGCTGCTGCAGCAGCAGCCAGGCCTGTCGAGGCCCCTGTTAAAGGAACCTGTTGCTGGATATGGGGTGGCTGCTGCAGCTGCGGCGGCATTGTTGGTGCCGTTGCCCTTCCTACCTGTGACGCCGTTGCCTGAGATGCTGTCCGACCAACCGTCGGGGCAGCCCTATCCTGCACCGCAGTACGCGCGTCACCGGATGCAAAGACCCCAAGCATCTGCGTACTAGACGCAGGCGCGGGCTGCTGGCTGCCATCAGTAGCCGTTGCCCCTGCTGGGCCGCCTGAACCGCGGCCGCCACGGCCCTCTCGCCGTTGCCCCTGGCCCCGCCCTGATGCCCTCTCAGTACTGTTAGAATCCATTTGGCGACCTGAAAATGCTGAGCCGCTGCGCCTGCCATTCTGCTCGTTTTCCCCAGCTTCCACACCAAGACCGCCAAGGTCCTCCTCCGTGCCCGAGTCGTCACCACGGCCGCGACCGCGTCCTCCGCGGCCGCCACGACCACCGCGGCCCCGTTCGCCAGCGGGACCCCTGCCACGTCCTCTACCCCTGCCTCCGTCAATGGCCACATCCGATCCAGATGCTTCGCCACCCTCAGCAGGGCTATCATAACCGCTTCCGCCGCCGCGTCCTCTACCACGACCAGACTCCCCGCGGCCCCGGCCTCGGGTACTCGGTGGCAGCGCCCGCCGGTCATAGCTGCACGAGCGATCCCATAAGCAAAGTGTTAGACGAGTGATTACCACCCATTGACATCGCGTCTCTTGGGGCGCAAAAACATGTTCCAACGACGCCCATACGTCATCCTGAGTGCGCACCTGTTCGGGTCGTAGATAGGAGCTGATGCTGCGTCCTTGTGCGTGGGACCTCCGTGCTGTCCCCCAAGACTCTGGGCGTTTGCATGGGTTAGCAGCACCGGCGTGGTGCCTTCCACTGCAAACGGCACGAGCAAGAATTCAATTATTGACCAGTACGAAACCTTGACACAATCGGTCTCCACACCCAAGCGCACCTGGCCGCCAAGGCTTCGGGCGGGACAGCTCATCCGAAGGCGCCGGTTGTTGCTGCGTCGGAGGCAACGATGGTGACGGTTGCTGCCCAGTGCCATGTTGCTGAAGGTTGACATGCGTTGGGTGCTGGCTGTACGCGTGCTGTGCTTGCGTTGGAGGTGCTTGCGCTGCATAGAGCGGCGGGTATGGCTGGAACTGAGACTGGCTATGCAGTCCAGGATTTTGCTGCTGCTGCGATTGAGGAGGGCCAACGGCCGCTTGATGCTGCGTATGTGTCTGCGCACCCTGCGCAAGCTGTGGCTGTGGAGCGGGTGTCCGATGAAGCTCCTCTAGGAGATGGTCATCGAAAGAGCCAAACATGGCTGTTGTTGGATTCGGAACGGAACCCCAGGCACTTGGCCGTGGCGGTTCAGCAATATCGATTGCCTTGGTTGCTGGGCGCACAGCGTCTGATGGGAGCGGGGGAACGAAAAAGGCATGCTCGTGGTGACGGGACCCTAAGGCTTCCGTGTAGTTCGAAGTGCCTCTCCTAGCATGCCATGAGAAACTGCCCAGGTAGCGGCCCAACGCACCATAACGGCATTGCCCTATGAAACGTACCTGGAGGGGCATCTGTCCGAACCGGCGGCTTAACCTCTGCTTCGATCTGCAGCACATGAAAAAGGTCAATCTCCATGCGCTCATCGTGCCAGTTCAACCCCCCACCGCTGTATCCAACCCACCTCCACCGGCTTCGCAGCCGCCGCATTCCGAGCAGCTATGCTCTCCTCCAAAGCCCTCAGCTTTTCCGCTGCTGCCTGCTTGCGTCGCCTTTCCTCCTCCTCCGTATCCCGGGTAACCAGCTTTGTGGCAACAGTCGAAGCCTTCGACGTAACCGCGACCTGAACACAGAAGTGTTATACACAATTATAATCCCGCCCAAGTTTTGCTTTTGCTTAACTATCCGTCCCGAATTGATCGGCCCTTCCCAGACATTTTCCAAGACGAAGACTTCCCTGCTTACGTTTTCTGGCTGATTTGGAGACGCATCATCGGCGGTCCCGACTTGCTCCTGTGGCGGCTGCGGTGATTCCGGCGCAGGCTGCGATGCGCGAGAGGAACTGCCATCTTTCTGCTCCGTCTTTTTCTGAAGAAACGAGACACAAATTGCAAACATTATTAATATAGAATGTTTTGGAACAAAACGCATAAACGCGGCTTAATAGACTCGTCGCACCTTGCCGATCTCCGCCTGCAAGTTGCGTAGTTCAGCTTCAAACGCAGCCCGCTCTGGATCGTCTTCCTCCTCCTCCGGAGGGGGTGGCGGAGGCGATGGCTGCGGAACGTCCCGTGCTGGGGCCCGCGGAGGCGGTGGTGGCGGAATGAGGCCATCATCGTAATCTGCGAACCTGCTTGGGTAACTGGGCCGCTCGTACCGCTCCGCAGGCCGCTCATACCGCTCCGCAGGGCGGTCATACCGCTCAGCTGGCCGATCGTAACGTTCATACGTATCGCGCTCGTAAGCTGGGCGACGAGGAGGCGGAGGAGGAGGATAGTCGTACAAAGCGCGGCTAGGCGGCCCGTAAGCGTCATATGCCCGGCCACCCCGAGGATGCTCGTCGTAATCATCGAAGTGGCCAGGGCGCGGCGGGCCGTACGGCTCAAACCGTGCATCGCGACTGCTGCGGTCCCAGTCGCGACTCCGCTCGTCGTCCCTGCGAAACGTTCGAGGACAGTCAGACCGCTCCCAACACAACGCGCAGCTAAACCCCGTTCCCGAAAGCCTACCAATCGCCGTGGCGAAAACCTCCTGCAGGCGCACGTTCGTCGTCAGCCCAGCCCCTCGGGTCCTGCAGTGTTCGAGAGTGTTGCTCCCATTCGATTTCCGCTGCTTGTTTTGAAAAGCTAACAAGTGCATTATATACCTGTGGCAGCTCGTAAGGAACAGGCCGCTGCTTTTGAGGTTGTGAATTACTCCGCGCTGTGGCTGCAAGGCTGGGATACTCGTCGGGATTCAGATGACGGTCGACAGGGAACGATGAACCCCGCCCGTGCGCTGGCGAAGAAGTACCAGCCGATGCCCAAGCTCCAGAGCCAGCCCTTGGCTGCGAAGCCCAGTTACTTCCGGCTGTAAGCGCGGACCTGACTTCTTGAGGTTGTGCCGGAGGAGCCTGCTCCTCCGGCTTTGCCCAGCCAGCACCGGCACCAGCGGGAACTAGCTGAGTTGTGGGGTCGTTACCAGCATGTTCCTATGGAAAGAAGTTAGGCAAGCACCTTAAGAGTGCATTTTTTGTCAAACGGAAGGCCGCAGTTTGAAGCGGCTCCACACCTTCTTCAGCGACGGCAAGTTGACGGGCTTTGGCACCACGACTTTGGCTCCAGAGACCGCACGGGTTGTGCGCTGCACCAGCACCAATCACGACAAAAAAGAGGCGGCGTCAACGTGGCCAGGATGTGATCTGAACCCTGTTTGCTTCTATAAGCTGGCAGGGGAATCAGCCGTAATACTATGCATGTAAATGTTCTCATTCCTCGGCCCGGCTTAAGCTTACTCGGTTTCAGTAAGTACGCGGACTTACCTTTGAGAGCACAAGCATGCCATTCCTGTTAATAGTGCCACTGGTTGACGACTGGGCTGCAGCAGAAGCCGAGGGCTTTGCAAACACGGCATTGAGGTTGCTGTTGGCGTACTTGGCCTGTGCTTGGTTCTTGTTGCTAGAGGATGAAGACATTGTTCGCGAAAGTCATCGGTGGCTTATAATCAGTCTAGCGGAGGCCTATCAATTCTGTTCTAGCATAAGTCACTCCCTCTTTTGGGTCCTCAAGCCGGCCCTCGATTTTGCACAAATGTTTGAGTGTACGATACCGCCGGAAAAAGTACTGCGCACAAAAGCATTGTTCCACCCTGGAAACTTAACTAACCCTGTGTCTTTCACATAGCTGCCAGCCACGCCGTGCGTATTCGGTCAATGGGACGGTTATGTGGAGAAGCGATATAACACGCAGTTTTCAAGAAGCTTTTTGTTGCCTATCCTTACTCGTTAGCCTGTAAGGGGTTAGTTAGGGAGTCCGAAAACGCCACTGGTCATGCTCAGAACATGTAGTCGGCATGCCAGTACGCCTGTCTCCACACCTTGCCAGAGGGGAACGGCGCACAGGTCAGATAAGGGGAACTGCGCACAGGACAGGTTGCGTATTGACAGCCTGATATAGGCAACAAAATCTACGCTGGGGTTAGGGATGAGGCCGTGCATAATGACACGTCACACAGCAGGTATCGGGTTTCGCTCGGGTGTCCTAGCTAGGAGCCATCCAACTCGTGTGGTGAATCGCCCCCTGTACCTGGCAGCTCTTTTAAGGCATAGCGGATATAACTGCTAAAGTATTATATGAGGTTACATCAACTGGTGTCTTCTTAAGTGAACAGCCGTGAACGCTTTCACGAAAAATCATAAGTGGGCGTCGCTCCGCCCCTCGCTGGCGGCACGCCGCGACACAGGGTGTACAACAAAACTGAGACAAGACAGCATTCTCCATGTATTCAAATGCTCTTCAAAGCTGAGATATCACCAAACCTGAGCTTAGCGTAGGATATGCGCATAAACGGGACGTGACTGACGTAACATGAAAGGCTGTACGACCGCGGTCTCAGGAAGTTCAGGTTGATCATAACGCTTGAGCGGCTTTTCCTTAAGGCCGGGAAGGACTAATCTTGGCCCCACAACGGCAAGCACGTGATGGTGACATGCCTATGATTGAGGAACGTCGCTTTTACCTATGTTCCGTTTGTTCGGTACGATACAGGTGTGCGCTGCAACCATACATCTACAAGCATGGCGAGCATGGGAATAAAAGACATCTATTCAAGGCCTTAACATCCCCGGTACAGGTCCGCTGCGAAGTCAAACACACTGGATAACTGCCGTTGCTTCAGTTGACCAGCAAACTATCGAGATGGATGATTTGGCATTATTCCAGAGAAGTCAGCTTGCAATAGGTACTGCTTGACGCTATAATGGCATAAGAACCTGTATTGACTGGAGCAAGGATGGCGACAGGGAAAATGGAGCCGCCTGAGGACAAGGACAGCTCTTCAGAAGATGAAATTATGCAAATCAATGGCGGTAATGATAGCAGCAGTGACTCAAGTCGCAATCCTCTGAGGTCGTCGAGCTCGCCGAGCGGCATGTCCTCGGAGGCCTCGGGCTCAGCACCACAGCAAAGCGACGAAGCGTCTCAGCCCTCTGATACCGAGGATGACGAACCAGCGCAGCCGCAAACTGAGGAAGATGCAACGGAGGAGGTGCGGAGCTGCTGGCAGTTTGCGAGCGTTGTGCAGTTCGCACGGCTGTTCGCAAAGCAGCTACAGCTGAGGCCGTTATCCGCCGACCAAGTGGAGAAGTCAGTCCTGAAGCCCGCGGAGAATCAGGGCTTTCTAGCAGAGCTAGTTTACAAGGTAACGACGTAACCCTGGGACCGGTAGTCCCTTTCCAGCGCGTTCCAGGGCTGCCATCGAGCAGCACAGGAGAAGGGGGCACCGGTTAGAAACCCAATGTCCCAGTCAGTGCCAGCCAAGGCCCTGGCCGGCTCGGGCAGAACCACACCAGGACGTACCAAAGCTGCCCCGAAAACACCTAGAAATATACACAGACGCAGACGCACATAGTTGCACAACAGCCATCTTCGGCCCTACCGGTTTCAGTTCGGCGGTATTGGGCAAGTGTCCAACAGCGGCTCCCCCCGCGTGTCACAGCAGACTGTCGTCTAGCCCAACACCCACATCTCCCAGCCTGACCCAGATCGGCCCACATCGCCATTATCAGCTCGCAGATCTCAGCAAGTGGCACAGCTACCGCAGCCACCCACCTCTTGGGGCCACTTCCTCAGAGCAACACGAACAGGACCTTCGACGGCCATTGATTTTCCCTCGGGCTGTCGCGCACCACCCGCCGAGGCCCCATTTCTGAACCTTATGCCGGCGCCCCCGGAAGCCTTCAGGTCTCCCAGGATCGCTCCGGCTTAGCACGTACCTACATCAATAGTAAGCCCGACAACGGCGTTCTTCCCCTTCACCACCCCGAGCTACCGTTCCCTCGTCCCCTAAAGCCCGGGCTACCATCCTCGGTCTGTACCTTCCTGATTCCTAGCCTGGCCCGGGGCAGTGCCGGCGGCATCCATCGCTTGCTTGCTCCCGTTGGCCGTCTGACTCTCCTTCACAGCACCATTGCTTGTTGCCGCCCGTCTGCTATTCATGCGGTGGCCTCACCTGGCCTAGAACCCCGTGAGTGGGTCAAACTGATTTTCTCGTGCACCGTGCGCTCTGCAGCTCCTGCGCCCTGACCCCAGCGCGGCTTACCTGGAGGGCGAGGCGGAGGGCCGATGGGAGGCGCTGCTGCATGAAAAGCTGCACCGACAGTGGCGGGACGCCTTCCCCCGGAATCCGATGTCCAAAAAAGGCTTCCAGGAGCTGAGGGCGCTACAGCGGGTGGGTGGCACGTACATATATGCACGCGTGTTCTCCTTCTTTTGGGGGATTCATTTTCCGGTTTGCAAGAAGTGTGTACGTGTTTGTATAACGTCTCCATAGTGATCTGGCCCCAGGGGGGGAAATTGCCATCGATTTCCCATCCCGTGTCTCCTCTATTTCTCTCCATCCAGTCCCTTCTCGCCCGTCGGGGACTTTATTTCTTGCTTCGCCCTTCCCGCCCTTCCCTGTCTCCATCCATCCCTTGCCTACCTGCCTACCTACCCCTGCCCTTTCTACCTGCAGCATACCTACCTGCCTATCGCTGCTTACCTGCCTGCATCCACCCCACCTATCTACTGCACCCACCCTACCTGCCCAGGTGCAAGTGTTGTACGCGCTGTGCGAGTGGCGGGCGCACGAATGTCCGGTGATCAGAGAGGCCATACGTGACATGGTGCGGGGGTGGAAGCGGAGCTGGCGTGCGGGCAGGGCTTGCCAGAAGGGGAAATTGGAATGGGAACAGGGAACTGGAATGGGAGGGGAACAGGGAATGGGCCCCGGACTGAAGCGTCGGGTTAAGGGGGCAGCGATAGGGCAACGTATGCATGATGGGGAGGAGTCCCTGGTTGGGCGTGTTGCTGACGTAATGGCTGCAGGCGTATCCAACAAGGTGGGTAGAACTGGAAACATGTTGGTGGAAAGAGGTTTGTCCTGGGCAACATCCCAACGGATGCGCGCATGAAGGCCGGCTGGGGTTGAGAGCAGCGGGGCGTGAGCTGCCGCCGCCAGGGGGACTGCGCTTGGCTGGCAGGCGTGGTTGTTTGTGTGTGCCCCGTGAAACGTAGAGTTGCGCAGTGGCCGCATTCCCTGACGGCCTTGGATGCCTTATGCTCCTTATGGTGCTGCTGATGCTGATGCTTCCCGGGGCCCCAGGCAGACGATTCGGAGGAGGCGACGGCGCTGCGGCAGCAGCCCCTCGGCGAGGACGCCCGCGGCCGCCGATATTTCTTCTTCAGCGCCAACGGATTTGAGGACTGCTTCCTCTTCAGGTGGGAGGGACCTTTCCATCCAGGCGCCTACGGCATGGGGCCTAGGGCCTGGCATGATGGTGGGCTGGGGCATGAAACTCGGTGCAGTGACGGTGCCCTGCTTGGTGGCTTGGGTTCATGCCCAGGGTGGCTAGGAATCCAGGTAAGATGTCCTGGCAAAACGCAGATGTCGCAGCTGGAGAGGAAGGTAGAACTTGGTTAAGTTTGAACGAGGATGGCAGATCATTTGTGATAGGGGGGTATAGCTTCACCCGTAGCCACTAGCCTGGCAGCCCCTACGTTCCCCTGTGTAGCCTGGCAGCCCCTACGTTCCCCTGTGTAGCCTGGCAGCCCCTACGTTCCCCTGTGTAGCCTGGCAGCCCCTACGTTGCCGCTTTTAGAAGAGACGTAATGCCGTGCCTTAGCATACCTGTCGCGTCAGAGCTGTATATAGATGTCTGGGTATTCATTAAGCTCAGCCGTGAGAATTAAAGGATTGATGGAGTGAGGGTACATGTAGTGGGTAGAATACCTCTGTATGAGACCGCGGTGAGGTGAAAAGAGGTTGATAGGCAAAGTGACGATGAAAAACACCGGGGGCCCAGGTGTATGCGCAATGTTGTGTGTTAGCAGCAGCCGTAACATCACTGCGCTCTTACCCGGGGGATGTTTTATGTGCAGGGAGGGGCCGCCGAGGGGTGCTGTGGCGGTGGCTGCCACCGCCAAGGCCGGTCGCGCCGGCCGCGATACGTCAGCCTCCTCAGATGCGGATGCGGAGTGGTGTACGGAGTGTACGACTCTGGAAGAGGTTCAGGAACTGTCTCGCCGCATGGGTAACTCTCGTTACAGGAACGAGCGCGCTCTGCACCAGGTGCTGGAGGAAGAGGTAAGACCGGACTCTTGGAGGGTGTGCGTGTGTGTGTGTGTGTATTACGGCAAGGGGCAATATCTGTCTCCAGTCCGGGAACTCTGATGACAAGGCAGAGATGGAATTAAGGATGGGGCCAGAGTGCTCCAAGATCATAAAGATAGTAAAGCTGAACACTGCCGGGGTCAGACACGGCCCATCCCAGGCCCCACACACACACAACTCAACCCCCCTCCCTCCGCTTGGCACCGCCCACTGGATCGCGCTTTGCAAGCGCCAGGTGATGGATAATTCGTAGTGGAATAGCCTGCGCTGAGGCTTAGGTGCCGCCCGTGTTGCTGACAACGTAACCATGCGGCAGCCCATTACCTTACTAATTTGTTTCCATCGTATGTTCGTCTGTCTGCCTGTTGTTCGCATACACGCCCGTATAAGGCCTGTGTGGGCGCATTCATGGACCGAGTCGTGTACGTGTGTGTTTGCTCACCATTTCCTGTACCTCTCATCGTGTTGTGTTGTGTCGTGTCGTGTTGCATCCTCTTCCAGGTTTTGCCCAAGTTGGCCGCCAGCGTGGAGGCCAGGGAGCGGGCGGCGCTGTATGAGGCGATGCCCAAGAAGCGTTCCGACCGGCTGCACACATTACAGAAGAAGAAGGAGGAGGAGGACGCGGCGAGGAAGGTGCGAGCTAAAGGAGGGCCGGTGTCGTGTGTGGGCCATGCTGGAGTGGGAGTTGGCCAGTTGGCCAGTTGAACGAAGGAGAAATGAGCCACTCACACCGGTTTCGCGCTCCACAGTGGGCAGTTCCTTGGCATCGCCGGCTCCGTAACTCCCATACCGCGCCACCCCAGGGCGCAACTCGAACTGAGAAGGCCTAGACATCTCCGGAAGTCTCACATTCTCGCTGGGGCCTTCCGCCCTATTTATTGATATCTCACGTCCTCAAAAGACGCTCCTCTGCTAGTGTTAGTGCCTGTGTGTGCGACGGTGCCTGTGTGTTGGGCATCGTTATCGTCGTTTTTGTCCTATGTCTGGGCCAAACGCCTCCTCCCGGCAGTCATTCGCGTCTCTCTTGTCTGCCGCACACCTGTGTCTGCCTGCGTATCTGTCTGTCTGCCTCTCTGCCTTGCTCTGCTTCACCTTTTTAGGCACGTGCTGAAGAGGAGCGATGCAAGCGAGAGGAGGAGGCCAGGGAGCGGGAGCGCAAGCGCAAGGAGATGGAGAAGGAGCAGCGGGTAGGAACAGGAACAGGAGGGACGGGGTGCAGGCGTGTCGGCAGATGTCCAGGCGGTGTCAGTCGCTACTTCACCCCGATTGGGTACTGGGTCGAGTGCTGGTGATTAACCTCTAGAGAGGAAAAGGAAAAGATAGAAATGGTGATCGGTAGATCGGTGATAGAAATGGTGATTAAAGAGGCCTTTAAACTAAACCTCTTTACATCCCCTTCTTCCCCTTCTTCCTTCATCTTCTCTGCACATTTTTGGTCCTCTTTTGACGTTCCCACTTCCCTTCACTCGGGCTCCGCTGTGACTTCCCTCGCGTCCTTTCCTCTTTCCCCCGCTCCCCACATTTTTAAGACGTCCACGCCGGTCCTTTCCTCTCCCGCCCCGCCTTTTTAAGCACCCGGCGACCCACACATGAGAGCACCTTATTGAACCTAAGTCCTTTGATTTTTATTCGCGTTATGCCGTTGCTCAACTAGGCTACGCACTTCCTGGCCCGCGCAGCTTGCCCAATCACAAACGCGACCATTCCCCGCGGCCCCAGCTCCTGAATCGCGCACATCTGGGTATCCTAAAGGGCCGCGTTACCACATCCTGTCACAGCACTGTTAAAACTATCTACCCAACTACTTTTCTTTCTTTAAATTTTGACATTAATTACATCTTAAGTCCTTGTGTTGCCAAGAGGCAATTGCATCTGGGTCCCGTCCTGAACGCGCAGCACTGAGACCTCCTCACTTCCCATACCGCCGCCACCGCGACACCGTCGCACTGCCGGGCTCGCCTGTCGCTTTGGCTTTGCAGCTGAAGGAGATGGAGGCCGCGCGACGAAAGTTCCTCGGTCTGCCGGCGTCCTCGCCCCCTGGCCCCTCGCGGGAGGAGCGCATGCGGATGCGGGAGGAGCGGCGAGGATCGGAGGAGCCGCTAAGGGTGGGTGTGGGTGGGTTGCTTAGAGGATGCGGTCACTTCACCCGCCCTTGGCTTGCGTGTCCCTTCCCATCTTACCCTCATGGCTGATTGCCGTACTCCCCGTCCGGGGTTAACTCTCTCCCTTATTCCCTCGCGCCACTGCCTCGTGACGCCCAGGTCGCCTTCTTGCCCTCTAGGGCCCTCCCGCGCCCCGCATTGCGTTCCCCAACTCGCAACAACTGTCACAAATCCCTTGGCTGCTCGCGTTCCGATATTGCCCTAGTACCTGTCTGATCCGGTTGTATCCCGCCTCACCCTGCCTGCTGCTTACCATGTGCTGTCCATTGATGCTCCCAGTGCTCACTGCTTGCGTGCTGTTCGCAGTCAGCATCTAGGGAGCCCGGCGGCAGGGTAACAGGGCCGGCGGCGGCGGCCGCTGCAGCCACCGGCGAGACGCCGACCTGCCGGGAGCGGCAACTCGGTAGCCGGGAAACCAGCGCGGCTCCCGGCAGTGGGCCGCCGGGCAGCGGCGGTAGCGGCAGCGGCGGCGACGCGAGCCGGCGGCCGCAGCAGCGCAAGGACGGCAAGGAACATGAAGTGGGAAAGGAAACGACAGGGCCTGGCGGCAGCGGCGGCGGGGAAGCGCCACCCGACGCCGTACGGGTATCCCGCAGTGGACGGCCGCTGCGGAGGCCCCGCGGCATGGACTCAGACGACGACGATGGGGGTCCCCCTGGGCCCAGCCGCGCAACTACCTCTGCGCAGGAGCCGCGCAAGGCCCCACGCCGGTTGAAGGTGGAGGCAGAGGCAACGGCGGCGGCGACGGCGCCCGATCCAGAGGCGACGGTTCCCGCTTCCGTGACAACACAGTTCGCTTACGTTACAGCAGCGCCGGAGGTGCCTGCTGAGCCCCCGCCTCCGCCACCGCAGGACCCCACACAGCCGCAGCAGCCGTCGCCATCTCCGTCACCGCGGCCACGGAAACGGTGTCGGTACGAGCACGGGATGGATTGGTCGCCGCTGGGGGTACCTGTGGTGCGTGGCGAGCGGACGACGGAGCTGTACCGGCCTAGGGCGAGGGTGGACCTGCTGAACCAGGTGAGGCCTGAGCTGTCGTCCAGAGCCCCGACTCGTTACCACAGAACGCACGCACCGCAAGTCACACCCTTCGACAGGAATCTCGATAGGCCTAGGGCAGAATCCCCTTAGGCCGGTACGAAATGTAGAAGCCACTCCGACACTCGGGCTGACGAGACGAGGCACGCATGCGTATGCAGGTGGTCGTGGCTCGTGGCTTGAGCAACCTAGCACTTAGCATGCATGCGCGGATGGCCCGGATCCGTCTGTCCGCCTTACGAGGCTCCGGCGCTCTTTCGTTGCAGGTGGCGTGCGGTAACACATGTGACCTGCCGTACCACGTCGCGGGGGCGGCAAAAAAAATGGCGGAACAGGATCGTCGAGCTGCGGCGCGGATGCGGATGCGTGTGCAGCCGCAGGCGCAGGTGCTACTGTCGGGAGAGGAGCTGCCGCCGTCACCGACGTACGACTCGGTGCTGCCGCCAGCAGCGGCGCTGCTGCAGCAGCAAGAGCCGCAGCAGCAGCTGCAGCTGCCGCCGCCGCTGTCCCCGACGCGCTTGCACGAGCTCGCATTGGCAGCGGCCGGGGTCCGGCTGGTGCCGCCGACCTTGGACCCTGCTCTCGCCGCCACCACCGCCGACGGAGGCGACAGAAACGTCGTAAGCTTAGGGCCGCATGAGGAGGAGATCTCTGGAGGCGGGCAGCAGCAGGCGATTTCTGCGACACGGATGCGGCGGCCCCGCAAGCCGTCTCGAAGAGCCTTGTCAGCCGATGATGATGACGATGATGATGATTACGATGGTGGTGGCAGAAGCAGCAGTAGCCGCCGCCGCGGCGGCGGCAGCGGCGGCGGCCGGCCGGTCGGCCGGCGGTCGGCCGTTTCGACAGGGGGAGCACTGTCAGCGGCGCCACCGGCGGCAGACGCCGCAGCCGCCGATACCTTCCAGATGCGGCGGGATCATCTTGCACTTCAACAACAGCAACAAACACACTTTCATCCACAGCAGCAGCAGCAATTGTCATCAACATTGGTGTCTGCGGCTGGTGCGAGCGCCGCGAGCACAGCAACGGCTCCTTCAGCGGCCGCGGCGGCCCCGCCGCAGCCGCCTCCAGTTCCGCCACCTCCTGCAGCAGCACCAGCAGCCCAGAGCAACCTGCAGGCGACGGCTGCTGCGGCCACGGCGGTGCCGGGGGCCCCTCCACATTCCGCGCTGGCGGCCGCTCCAGTCCCTCAGCAAGCACCCACAGCAGCTGTGACACCATCCGCCGCGATGTTCCAACTGGTGCGTTGGGGGGATTGCGAGTGGGACACATGCAAGGTGTTCTCCTTGGGTTCCAAGGCCAAGAGAAAGAGGGAGAAAGGTGTGGGTCGGCAGGGAATTGGTGAGACAGGTGGGGATGTGGCTAGAGGGACGGTGTGGCAGGTTGTAAATGGTCACCTGATGGCGAGCGGGCGGGCGGGCGTGCTGCAGGTCGGCCGGTTCCGCGGGCAAGATGGAGTACACGTGGTGGAATATAATGAATAGTGGTGGGCCTTAACGAAAGGCGAAGTGGACCGAAGGGATCTGTTTTTTTCTGCAGCAATTTGAGCCCCGTCGCAGTCCAATGCTGCATCTGCGGTCTGAGAATCCCAGCCAGATGCTGAATGATGTGGATGGTGCTGCTTCCTGTTGCTGGTTTTCTTTCGGTTTTTCGGTTTTCGTTTGCAGATGCTTGAGCGGATGCCCGCGGCGCAGCGGCAGCAGGTCCTCAGCCTTCCGCCGCCGCAGCAGGTGCAGGTCTTGGTGGGGCTAATGCAGCATGCCCTGTGGCAACAGCAGCAACTCCTGCTGCTACAACAGCAACATGTACTACAGCAGCAGCAACAACAGCAGCAGCGACAAGAGCAGCCGGGGCAGCACCCGCAGCAGCAAGCGCTGGCCTCTTCACACGAAGCAGCAAACGAAGCCCCAGCCGCCCCAGCCAGCGACCCGCAGGCACTGGCCTCAGCCACAGCGCGCGCGACCTTGTTGCCGCCCCAACAGCTACTATCGCAGCAACAGCAGTTGTCCCAACAGCCGCAAGCAAGACAACAGCCGGGGGCGCCGGAGTGTCAATCCCTGCAGCAACGCCAGGCGACGGCTCCAGCAACGGACAACCAAGCCGTTGGACACCAAGATGCAGAGGAGCTTCAAATTCCGACAATGGAGGACGAGCTGCAGCCGCTGGCTCTTCCTCTTCCTCCGCAGACCCTGCAGCACGAGCAGCAGCAGGAGGTGGGCCAGGAGCTGGAAACGAAGGAAGAGGAGCCTTCAGAGCCAGGTGCTTCAATGCTGCCGGCGTCGGCACCGCTGCTGAAAGAAGCGCCAGCAGAAGCTGCGGCAGCAGCAGCGCTACAGTACCAGGAGTCTCAGCCGGTGTTGGTGGAGCTTGAGGAGCAAACGGCTGCGGCCACGGTCTCGGCAGCAGCAGCAGCAGTAGCAGTGCAGGTGCAGGCTGGCAGCGAGAAAACTGCGGCTGAACAGGTGCTAGTGGTGGTGGCGGCTGAAAGCGCGCATGCGGAAGAGCAGACGGGCACTGTACCCGGCAGCATCATACAGGAACGTGATGGCCACGATGTGGTGGTAGAAGCACATGCAACGCCGGCTGTGGAGGCTTCAATGCCCTCCGAGCTGCACACGCGTGCAGGAGCATTGCAGCCGCAACTCGTGCCGGCACCCGCGCCAGTGCCGGTGCCGGCGGGAGAGGAGCTGGACCAGATGGCATTGCCGGCGCCGCAGCCACAGCTGCAGCCTGTGCTGCCAACGGTGAAAGGCGATTGGGAGCCGACGCAGGATTTGGGGCCGGGGTTGGGGCCCCATACGGCCAATAAGGAGATCCCGGACATGGCGGACATGCCACGGGTTCCCACATCCCCATCAGAGACGCCGCAACCGGCAGTGCAGGAGGGCCCGGAGCCGGCACCACCGGAGGAGGCGCTACAGCCGCTAGTCATAAGCGATGCAGTAGAAACACGTCACGAATTGCAACAACAGCAGCAGCAGGAACACGAACAGCAGCAGGAACAGCAGCCGACAGCAGAGGCTGTGGCAGGGCCAGAGGAGGCCCTGCAGACAGCAGCTGCGCCAGGATCGGGAGGGTTTCTACAGCCGCAGGCGGTCGAGGGCCAGGCAGCGCAGCAGCTGCAGCAGCAGCAGCATGGGACGGAGATCGAGGCTCTGATGTCGACCTCCGGGCCGCAGGTCTCGCAGGTTTCGGAGTCGGTGCCGGTCCTGGCGATATGCACGCTGGCGCAGGCGCAAGAGCAGGTTGAGCCGCTGCTCATCCAAGTCGGGAGCGGCCAGGAACAAGTGCCTATGTCGGCTGTCGAGGCGCAGACGGAAGGGCAGGTGTCTGTGCCGGCGGCAGCGCCGGAGCTGGGCCAGGTGCTACCGACCCTGGTGGAGCAAGCGCCGATGCCAACGGACATGCCCACGCCTGGAAACGCGACGGCTCCAGTCCCGATGCCGGTGCAGGCGCAGGCCGCCGTGGTGGAGCAGGGGCAGGTGCCGGTATGGGCAAAGACAGCAGCTCAGGAACAACAGCCCGTGGCAGCTGTGGAGATGAAGGCAGCGGCAGCAACCCGACTACCGTTACAGGAAGCGCAAACTCTGGCTCAGTTGCAGGCGGCGCAGGCGCAGGCCGCGGCCCATGCCCAGGCAACAGCACAGGCGCAGGCGGCGGCCCAGCTGCAGGCGGCGCAAGCTGCAGCCCAGCTGCTGGCCGCGCAGGCGCAGGCAGCAGCGCAGGCGCATGCACAGGCGCAGGCGTCGGCACATTTGGCGGCGCACGCGCAGATGACTGCGCAGGCCCAGGTGGCTCAGATGCAGGCCGCGCAGTTGCAGGCAGCAGCCCAGGCACAAGCGGCGATGCAGGTGCAGCTGCTGGCGCAGTTCCAGGCCGCAGCGCAGGCGCAGATGGCGGCGGCGGCGGTGGCGGCGGCGCAGATGCAGGCGCAGGCCACGGGCGCGGTTGTCCCAGCTGTTATACCTGGCGTCATGCCGGTTCCTGGCGGCTTTGCGCCTGCTCCGGGCCTGGCGGCGGCGCAGCTCTGCGGCGGAGTACCTGGCGGGCAAGCAGCAGCAGTAACGCCTGCGGCAGCCCTTAGCACGATGTTTGCGCACCAGCAGCAGCAGCAGCAGCAGCAACAACAACAACAACAGCTGCTACTACAGCAGCAACAACAACAGATGCTGTTGCAGCAGCAGCTGCAGCAACAGCAGCTACAGCAGCAGTATGCACAGCCCCAGTTCGCGCTTCTACAGCAACAACACCTGCTCCTACAGCAGCAACAACAACAGCTGCAGCAGCAGCAGCAGCAGCAGCAGGCAGCAACTGCACCCACGATAACAGGTGGGACGCACTTAGTGACTGCTCAGCCAAACACTGCAATAGCAGCCCCAGCCCCAGGAGCCTCAGCCTCAGCATCCACAGCTGCTGCCACCGCTGCCGCCAACATGTTCGCAGCGCGATCGGCGGCTGTAGCCGTTGCCTCGGCAGCGGCGCCAGATGGCGCAGAGGACGGTGCAGCCTGGCCCGGGCTTGCAGGCTCGCACCTCCAAGCACAGTTTGACGCCACCACTCCCCAGTCTCACACGGCGATGGCGCCGAGCGCCGTGCCCGCGCCCCTGCTTGGATAGCGCGAATCTCTGTCTAGCCAGGCAGGTCACACGAAGTACAGACCGAAGGCCATCGGCCTGAGGAAGGAGGTGAAGATCGGACCCTGGCCGAACAAGAAACCTGGTTTCTGTAGGGACTGTTGTGTGCGGTTGGTTGGGGCCGGCCACGAGGCTCTGAAATCCGTGCGGAGCATCGGATTGCGCCGGGTGGTGCTCAGGTGTTCGGGAGGAATCCTCTCTGGCGCTCTGCCGTATAGAAACGTTTTGACAGTCCGCACTGCTGCGGCCAGCTGGACACACAGCTGCATAACATATAATAGGGCTTGGCCGCGAAGCTGATGTGGTATGTGGTATCGTGGTATGTGGTATCGTGCGGTGGGTGGCATGTTGGACATGGTAAGGGAAATTGAGCCTAGGCCCAGATGGGCGGGCCCGAGCTATAGCGGCATTTGGCTAAGGCGGAAACCTAAGGCGACCGTGTTGGCTACTTGCACCACTGCGGTAAGAGAGCGCCTACTCACACGGACGCGCCTCCGGCTTATGGAGCTTTGCACGAGTTCACTGGCAGAGGGACAGAGGGGAGAAATGGTGGATGGAGTGCGCGGATCGGGCGGGAAGGCGGAAAAAGCGGAGAAGGCGGCGGCAACGGAGCATTTAAGGGAAGAAAGCAGGGCATGCATGTCAATGGTTTTTCTTTCTCCACCTCTTCCTCCTTCTCCACCTCCTCCTCCTCCTTTTCCTCTTGATGTACGTGGCCGGGAGGCTTTCACGTTTCCAACAGGGACGGGAGAGAAAAGAGGGGTTACCCCGCTGCAAGGGTGTCCTGCAATGATGGAGGAGCTGGAGGGCTGGAGGCTTTCCTCTCTTCCGCCGTGAGAGGAGGTGTGGAGCTGAAGCAGTTGGAGAAAGGACTGAACGGGAAACGTCGCCGTCGCTGGTGGAGACCGGAAGCGGAAGCGTACGCACCGGGGACACCACGTGTGTCGTTTTATTGCGCTTTGGGGATGGATGTGTTCATGCACCGCGGAGAGTTAGGATGGTCAGGTCCTCATGCAGCTCCGGCCGGTTGGAAAACCGGAACAGTCCACTGAACAGAGTGATTAATTGATTCTGATGAGGGGATCATGGTGTGGGGCTCGACCTGGCGACCACATTTGTGATGTGTGTGGCGTGTGGCGTGTGGTGTTTGTTGGGGTTGATTGTGTCGTCGCGAGCTCGGCCAGGGACCCATGGATTGGTGACGCTGCCTTGACTTGTTGAGATGACATGATGCGTTTGTCCCTGCGCTGACATTTCATCGAAAGTGTTGACAATTTATACCTTGTACTGACCGAGGCATACGATACACGATAATCCCAAAACCTACGGCGAGTATGCCGGCGGGAACGTCCGTACAGCTACAACGACAAGGTGACGTACCTACCTGATGCGGTGTGTGTGTGTACGTATGCGCGTGTCTGTGGCGCATGAAAGGGGCTTAATTTAAGGGATCGGAATGGTGCATGCCAGGCCGTACCACGAGGACAAGGCCGGGTACTCCAGGCACGGCTTGTGGGCCTGCAGTGCTATCAAGAACATGACAGCTGAGAGCTGTGTGTGTGTGGCGGGGTACAACTCTGCAATACACTGAACAGCGCATGAAACTGTTCCCTCCTGGGGGGCGGACATCTTTGCCTTGCGCGGGGCATCAACACCTGAAAATTTGTTGGCAACGTCCAATTGGTTACAAAATTTAATGTCTATTTCAACTGTTTTCCCTTTCAACATTGTCCTTGCAAGGCGTTGGGATGGTTGCATGTAGGTGTGCCCTTACGGTATCCAGCTTGGTTGAGTTCGGCACCTTGGGTAGTCCAGACTCTGCGGAGTGCAGACTGCGAGGTTGTATGCCTGGTCCTGGCCATGGGAAACCCTCTGGCAAGTCGCAGTCAGCCATTATTTGCCAAGATACGCTGAGAAGAGGCAAACTGTTTCGTCGGTCGCATTGGTAATCCGTCAGTTAAGGCACTGTTGCTCAAGATGTCAGTGCCGCGCTGCTACTGTAAAGCACTTTTGGTGGAAACGACCAGAGCTACGTTTGCATGCTGGTCTGGACTGGGATTTCCGCACAGAACGTCCCTTGGGACACACGATGCCTGAAGCACAAAGAGGCCTCCCAACAAGCGCAAGCGCATATGCCGATTGTCCCGGAAATGATGTGCGTGCTTTCGAAAGGCATCTTGACAACGCGATATTGACATTAAACAATTGATCAGGCGATTCCTGCATGGTACAATCCAACACAAATAGATCCTCCAACATACCTGGTCCGATCTTCTGAGCGGTAGGTATGCCAAGCTTCTGAAGAAAGCTAGGAAGGAACATACGAAACACCTGCCGTACTGAGTGGCCTTCATCCGTGCTAAAGACTTTGTCACAGCTTGTCGCGACATCTACAAGTCGGATATTGTAATAACGTCCGTATCTTGTGATCTTATTCCCGAAAGAATGCCGGCCGTGTCTTATGCAGATATCGGGAAGAAGGTCAAGGTAAGTAGCTAGTAGCTAAATAGAGCATCCTGTCATCAGAAACGAAGTTTGTTCAATCATTGGATAACCTAGAACTTCGCGCGACAGGGCCTGCTCGGCGGCGACGCGGCGACAGGCACTTTTATTCTGAACCCCAAGCTCACAGTTTCGGGAACCACCCAGTCTGGCGTTGCACTGACTGCAACCGCTGTGCAAAAGGTAGGCTTGGTTTCTCTTGTGGTGCGGTTGCGGAGATTATCTCCGGAACGTGTTTATTAAGCGCGGCAGGCACAATAGTTGTGCAGTAGAGAGTGCTCTTTCATTTTTAAAAAGGGTCAACCATAATAACCAGGCCGGGGTGTCACAACTGGAATCCTGCCTTGCGTACCTCTTCACGGCTGTACCGGTCCCGTAAACGCGAAGACCTCCCGTTCCTGCGCATAGTGGCAAAATATGGCAGAGTATACACGGGCCTCTTGTTTCCCTGGAACCAACCTTGCGTGCAGCTTCTTGTCCGCGAAGTGTTGCTGTCCCGCTGCTTCCCACGCCAACCCCCCATAATTTGGCTTGCTTCTGGGTTCGGTAATGATTTCTGACCAATCCTGACCCTACTGCAGGGCGATAAGCTTGACGCCACCCTCAAAGCTGCGTACAGCACCAAGAAGTATTCCGTCGACGCCACCGCCGATCCCGCTGGCAAGGTTACAGTCAACGCTTCCGTTTCAGATGTCGCCCCGGGGCTCAAGGTACCCGGCGCCTGGTAACAAGCAGATGCAGCCCATGCTCAGCTGCGGGGCGGGTTAATGGCTGGGCAGAAGGGTGGCGCACCCGGTTTTGTAGCGCACTTCCTCTCTGTCCCTGATATCCCTCCCTCAGCCACCCAACCTCTCTCCGGCGTGAGAGGCGTGTCTCTCCCGAAACCACAACTTCACACAGGCCGATGCTGCTGCCCCTATCGTCGCTGCCGCCACCGCAGTTGACCTCCGCCGTCGTACTGCCGGATCCCGTGGCCTCCGCCAAGCTGACGGCGGAGTACGCCAATGCAACTGTAGCCGTTAAGAGCACCGTCAGCCTTTCGGCGGCGCCAGTGGTGGACCTGTCGGTGGCCACCGCTGTAAAGGGGGTCTTGGTGGGTGGCGAGACGGCCTACGACGCTGCCAAGTCGGACATCACCAAGTACAACTTCGTGCTGGGTGCGTGACAGGGATGGGGTGCCACCCACATGCATGATGCAGGCGTAACGGTAGTTTCGTCGGAAGGTTTACGCCCGCATTCCCCGCAGCTGCTGCCGGTCGCCGGACGCAGGTCATGTGGCGCAACAAGGAACGGCCGACTGGTGAAGGGCTAACTTCCTTGGGCTGATTGTGATCAGGATGCGAACCAGAACTACGATGCTTCTCACTTCACTTTACCTGCCGCCCCTTTGAACCCCTCTCGGGCCCTCTCCGGGAGGGCGAGCGGATGTCATGCCTACGGACTCGTACAGCGGGGACGACCTGCGTAAGCCGGCTACAGGATCCGGCCTCCCGTTGGCCCTATCCGCTCCGAGCCCCATGAGGGGCCTGAACACCTGCAGAGTCACATCCCTATGTAGGCAGCTCACCGCACATTCACTCCGGTCCTTGCAGCTGTTGCTGTCTCAGCCAGCTGGCTATCTGATCTTTCTTTCGAGCCGCCTGCGTATCCCTTCCTTCCATTTGCCTTCCTCCCTTTCCCCTCCCGTTTTCCGCCGCCTTCCAGGCTACCATGCCTCGGACTTCCAGGCCACGGCCACCCTGCTTGACCAGCTCTCGACCCTCAAGCTCGGCTACACCCACTCGTTGTCGCCCTCGGCCGTCGTCGGCGCGGAGCTCACCCGCCGGATCACAGGCGCCGATGCGGGCTCTTCAAGCTTTGCGCTGGCGTATGCTCGCACCCTGGCGGGCGGCGCTGTAGCCAAGGTCAAGCTGGACAGCGCGGGCACGCTGGCGGCGCTGTACTCGCGCAAGCTGTCGGGCGGCGAGAAGTTCACCGGCTCGTTGCAGCTGCAGCCGTCTGACCTGACCAAGGCGCCCAAGTACGGCTTTGCGCTGGATTTGGCTTAAAGTAGAGATTTCTTGAAGGAGGCACGGGGGCGGTTGGATAGGTGGAGCAGGATGCTCTGCTATTTATGGGGGTGGTGACGGGGGCGGATGTGGTGCGGGCTTTGAGGTGCATAGGGTCCTAGGGCGGGAGTGTGGAGGTGTGCGCTGCGAATTGTGGCTGGTTGCGGCTGGGCAGGTTCAGCGCTTCCTGCTTAGATTTTTGGGTGTTTCCATTTCCTAGCATGGTTCTGGTCTACCCTCCCCTCCCTTGTGTGGCCGGTCCGGCTTTGCCGTGTCGAAAGGACAGAGAGTATTGCGGCAAAAGCGTTGGACCAACGGCTGCGCATGTAAGTGTGAAGTTTTCATTGGGAAAAGGCCAGAAGTCTAGGGCGGGGCAGTGGTCAATCTCTTTGTGGAAGTACCGACGGATCGGTGCAAGGGACGAGTCAATAAGGTTGTAGGTGCAATGGTGGAAGAATAATTACTCGAAATTTGAACATTGCACAGCAACCAACAGGAGCAGACCTTTGTTGAAACTTGATTAAGATCGAGGGTACATTAATGCGGTTAAATCGGTTAACTATCTACAGTGAGAACCAGACAGTTTCTCTGTTAGACTGGGCCTGTCTTGCAACGATTAGGACATTGCATACCATTGACGGATGGCAAGGCAGTAACATGGCCATCTGTGTCGCACGTCAAGAGTGTGCGCAAGAACAACACATTAGCCAGGCTGAACAACCCCAATCCATTCAAGTCAGGAGCTACGGCTGTCCCCGTCTGCCCACAGGCAAGAGCTTTGCTTGCTCGCTACTGCGACGCGTAGCTGCGCCCAGGAGATAGTAGAGCGGTTTGAAAACCCAGGGCAGCTAGAACCCTCACGCAAATCACCGTAACGGCTGTGATTCGGGCGAGAACGATTTTATAGTCGGAAAGCAGCCAGATTGCATAACATAACGCAAATACTGGGGAATCCTTCTGCACAACTTCTGAAGCGGCGTGGTTCCAAAGGTGTGATATTAAGCGTTAATAATTCCTCCTCCGGGGTACGGCACTCAAAACGCCACCATGTCCTCAGTCAGCGCTCCCAGTGCCTCGTCCGCTTGCTCGTCCTCCAGGTACGGCGACAGCATCCACACAGACAGGTACGCCGTGCAAAGGTCAGGGAGGCGCTTGGCAGCGACCCCTCCCTGACGTGTCACCTCGGCAAGCACTGCCGCCCCGCATGGATCCCGCCGCGAACAACCGCCGCCGCGTACGTCGGTATCTGGCTCCGCTGCCTTGGCCTCTGCCGCCGTCAGCGGCCCCGCAACGAGCCCGGCCAGAGCTGCTGCAACTGCAGCCTTGCTGTCGTACTCCAGTTGATACATGTTGCACACTTTCGCCAGCAGCTGTCTTATACTTGGGAGCGGCATTGTGTGGAAGACGGCGGTGGTGCGCGCCCAGGGCTCCTCCTGTTGTTGGGGAAGTATAAAAGTCCAATCTAAAGAAGTCCTAATCCGAACGGTCTCTCAGCTCCTTACCCCCCAACACCAATAGTGCGTGTTGCGTAGGCCTTATTGATGTCACTTGGTTTACTGGCTTTGCCCTCCTGGGTAGTGGCCGCATAACGGCTGGCGGGCTCCACCATCCCTCACCTTTCCAGGTGCGCTGTACTATGTCACGCAATCCAATCCACACTACCCCGCCCCACCACAGCCGCACCTGGGGTACCTCGTCAAGGCAGGCCAGTGCCCCAGCCAGCATCTCTACACACGATCCCAACTGCCGTACACCCTCCTGCATTACCGTAAGCGGCCGTAAGCGGTCCAAGGGTGTTACGGGAAGCGATCAAGTGTAGAAAGAGGTGTGAAAGTGTCTGACTGTTTTTCTTGGGTTACACGGCATTCTCACGACATGCACGACCCTGTCTAGAAGATACACGTAACCTATACATAAACATTTGTTTGTTCACGCATTCATAAACGAAGATACGGACATGGCCTGGGCAGCGTGACAGAGCAAAGACCTGCCGTTGCTTCCCTCGCCCCACCATCCGCCGCTCGGTGCCGCTCAAGGTAGGGCACACCACGTCTGGGTAGGCAGTTTAAGTCTAGAATAGACCCGCAGCCCCCAACCCGCCTCGCCCGCCAGTCCGCACCCCACAAACACTCCAAACACGACCCACCATCAGTCCGGTCACCAGCACCGCCAGCTGCCGTACCAGCTTGGCCGCCGCCGCCGCCCGCACGTCGGGCCGCAGATCCGCCACGGAATCCGGCAGGCGCAGCGCCGGGAGGTGGCTAAGCTGTAACGTGATGTTGGCGAGGTCGGAAACCGCCGTGTCGCCACCGTCACTCAAAGCCTGTCCGGGTGCGTGTGTATGTGTATGGCGGTTGAAGGGGGACTTTGCACAGCTGGAGTTCGCCCGCGGGGTGAGAGAATGGATCAAGGAAGAAGACTAGGCGCACGAGCCTCTCCTAGCCATCTTGACTCGGCGCTGATACTTTTCCCTTGCTCGCGTATTACCCATCGGCCCCTGCCCCAAACCCCCAAGCGCATGCTTGCACTATAATGTCGCTGTGTGTATTTACATATGCATATATGTTTGCCCCATTTCACCTTAACTGCTGTACATTCTTTTGTCACCTCTTTCTCCTGTCGCCGTACAAGGCGCACCTGAAAGCGGCTCCGCGCCTCCTTAGCTGTCGTCACTGCCCGCCGCACCGCCGTCTGAGCCCGCTGTCGCCACTGCCGCTGAATGAGAGTCGCCATGTCAAAGGCGCTCCTCTCTCTCTCTCTTCCTTTGGTGGTGTCTCCTAACTCCTACCTCCCAAACCCCACTTCCCCCGGTGCGTGGCTGCGTTGTGTCGCCGCGGGGTTTCCCCTACCTCGTGTCTTCCTAAAAAGGTTTAAGGAAAGACCCCTCCGCCTCTTCCCTTGACGTCCGCCCTCTTGGCCCCTGTGGCCCTAAACTCCTTGGCCTTGCCTAAGCTGCTGTTGCGCCGCGCTGACCTTTTCAGCTTCGTTCTGCGCTCTGAACTGCTACGCTCTGGGGCTCCAACCGGGCCCTCAGCCCCCCACTGATGTGGCGATGCGGGAAGCAGGCCAGATTTGGTGGTGGATGTACACGATAAGACCGGAAGAAGCGATGATTTCCTGATCGCTGATTTCGATCCTCCAAGGGAGATCCTGGTTAGGAGTTGGTTTTTAAGTTCAGCGCGTTGCTCAGGCGGCGGCGCAACGGACGCGAATGGCGGCGGCGCAACGTTCGGTGGCGGTGACGGCGGCGGGGAGCTGCAACGAGCGGTCAAAGGTCACCACCGCCACTCCCTGGCGTTCGGAGTGGGGTTGGGGAATTGGAGGGTTTGGGGATTGGAGGGAGCGGACTCCTTAAACAGGCGAATTGAGTGAGCTCAACTTTAGTTGTGGACCGAAAGGGGCCGGATACAGGTGGAGATGCCGAAGCATGGGGGTGAGGCAGACGGGAGGCTTGGTGGGGCTGTGCATGCCGAAACACCCTTCGGCGGCCGCGTGTGTAGCTGTGTGAACCTAGAGTTGGCAGTGGCGACGACGGCGCGGAGTACGAGACTTACAGAGGGCGGAGGTGGTCCAGTGGTGGAACAGTGCGCACAGAAGTGATATGGAAAGGCAACAACAATTGCACGCCAGTATGTTCATAATAAAATAAAATTTTATTTCGTCGTTTAAACAAACGCGATCATATTACAACTGCTGTAACCTGCTGCAGGGCACCGGGGCCCGTGTGTTACAGCCGCATTTCATCCACCCCCCCAGACCATAGAGGCGTTACCTGCGGCACCAGACACACCCCCAGCCCCACACGCCTTCGAGGCCCTAGAGCGAACAGGGAGCCCTCCGCCAGGTGCACCACCTGCAGCTTAGTGCCTGGGGGAGGGGGAAAGGAGGGTGTGTGCGCCGGTGCGTGTGTGTGTACATATGTATATATGTGTATATGTGTATGTATATATGTGTATATGTGTATGTGTATATGTGTGTAAAGCTTGTGGAGGTATACTTAAGTATATGGAGCAAGGAAGGGACGGAAGATATAAAGCGGGCCAAGAAAAGTTGAAGATGTAAAGGCGTGTGTGTGCGTGTGTGGGATACCGGAATAGGCAGACAAACAGACAGACAGATTGGTAAAGCCGACAGATAAGCAGGCAGACAGACAGACATACCAAGGGCGTTGAAGCTGGCGGTGGGCTGTAAGGAGTTGAAGGGCCGGAGGAACTGGGACACGGCAGCGAGGGGCTGTGGGGGAGTGGAGGCGGATCCACACACGCTGGAGACGTCCTGGGTTCCGGAGCGGACAGGGAGTAAGCCGCCAGGTGACGAGATGCGCAGATATGCAGGCGGGAGGCCGGGGAGAGTTATGGGTAGGGGCCCTGGAGGGCAGGCGAGTTTGGCAGCCCGGGTTACACGGGCTTCTGCGGTGAGGGGAAGGTGCTACTAAGGTGATTGCGCTCAAAAAGCGTGTCTTTCGAGTGCACTGCCTGCCTTTGCGCGTACGAGGAGGCGTTTTTTTATGGGGCTCAGACGAATTTTCAGAGATAAACTAACCAGCATCAAGGCGAGTTAAAGTGGTGCGGGAACCTGCACAAGGGCAAATGTCACAGGAATTCTCTGTCGCAGCCGCAACCCAGAGCACAAGACCTTACCCCGCTTGCGCCAAGCTCCTCAGCTAGCGGACCTCTTGCGGGAGTGCACACGTGACCGTTGGTCTGCACCACCGTAAGGGATGCGCAAAAGTTCGACAAACGGCGCCGCAATAGCCCATTTCCAGCAAGAGCTGCCTTGTATGCTAGGTTGCATGCCTGACACAGGCACTTACAGTAATTAGGCAGTAACCTGTTACACCAGGTGTGCGCGACAGTTCCTCTAGCTGCTCAATTGCCACCGTCACAAAACCCGGGAATGTCCTACCAGAACCCATGACGTTTACAATTTTAGATAGACATTTTTACGGGGAAGCAAGGATTGCAAAACAGTGTTGCGCGAGTCCTCGATCCAGTACGGCTGTGCATAACCAAACGGTCTCACTTCTGTCTCAAGCGTACTTGGTCAAGCAGCTTGCAACTGTACATAGTGTGTTATCTTTTTATTAAAATGTCTCTGCTCCCTTGATGTCGTAGGTCATTAATATTGACGCTCTTGTCTAATCTTTTCAAGGAAAAGAGGCCCAGCGATGGGTGCCGACAGCGATAGCGACGGTCATCCCATGGACGAGTACCTAGCTCGTGCTGCAAAGCGGCCCCGCATGCATACGGCGGCCGGACGGGGGTCTGCTGACGGAGGCGACGGGGCTGGTCATGAGGACGGGAAGGGCAAGTTGCAGGTCCACGCAAGCCCGAGTGGCGATGACAGCTATGATGATCTCTCCTCTGGCGAGTATGCGGACGACAGTCACGACGGCAGCATGACATCTGATGATGCTGACGGGAACGAGCTCCATGTCAACGACAAGGAAGAAGATCCTGGTGACGATACCCGGGAACTATTGCAACCAGCCGTTGAGGATAGCAAGGCAGCGACGCCTGTCGGTGCAGGCGCAGAGCACGCAGGAGCGAACACCCGCATCCCCGGCAGTAGCAACGGCGGCGGTGATGGTCAGCCAAAGTCAGCAACCCCAACCGACACCAAGCCTGTGGGCGTCGTCCTCGTGGATGACACCTCAGAAATAGTCCGCGACTATGAGGTCGCCAAACTTTTGCGCAATCCCCGCTACTTCGATGATTACGCCGACGTCCAGACTCGCCGCTGCTTCAACTGCGGCCAGATAGGCCACGCCGCACGAGACTGCACCAACCAGGCACGCGTCAAGCCCTGCTACCTTTGCGCGCAATTGGGACACGACGGCCGCGAGTGCCCGAACCGTGAGCCAAGGGGACTGGGGTGAGGGAGGGGCCAACGAGATAGGTCGCCGCAAACGCAAGCAGCATCGAAACGGACCAAGGAGAGGAGGTGGAATACCGTTGTCAGAAAGGCTTTGCCATCACCAACGGGGGGGTAACTTTAACGCAGGGCCCTTCCCACGTCTGCCACGCTTTCCGCACCGATCTGGGTCGGAGGCCGTTGTGCGCTGACCCGAAGTAGCCCCACTGGGTTTCTATTGGATGCGGTGAATGGTTTTGTGGATGGGGCAGCTGCACTGGTGGGGTGCCCCGCATGGCAGCTGCACTTGGGGCCCGCATTAGGCCTCCAGAGCCGCCAGGCAAATTGCATGGCGTGGGCATCGTGTGCGTATGTTTGTGGGATGGGGAATGAAGGTGCTTTTGGCCTTCGTTTGGCTCTTGACAGCGAAGGCCCCTTCGCCCCCCCTTCGCCGCATGCCGCCTTCGTGAAGGCCTGTGCTTTCGCTGCGGCCGCCCCGGTCACAAGCTGCGAGAATGCCGGGAGCAGGCTGGCGCTGCGGCGGAGGGACGGCCCTGTATGCGCTGCGGCCGGGGGGACTGTGACGCGGCCGGCAAGGGCGACTATTTCCGGTGGGTGCGTCGAGGCTGTGCTTTCAAATGGGGTTCGTCCTTTCCTTGATTGTAGCTTAGATGCGGCAGGAGCAAAGCGAGTATAGCCTCTAAGCTAGGTTATGTACGGCGGCCGTATGGCTTGCTGAGATTTCGAATTTACTATTTCAGCTGACAGCTCCATAGTTCCGGCATTCTGCCTACACTATTGGAGCTTATTATTGTTGCTCTCAACTTCTGCAGTAGTGTAAGGCCCTTGGCAGCCCCGGTTTCGCCTCGCCCTGTCCTATCCGGCACCCCGAACGCAACCGTACAGCAAGCCATGAAGGCTATAGGACATAATTCAAGGTTCAGCGGGTTCAGCGGGAATATGAATCAACGTGTTCAGCTCCCCCTCTCTCTTTTCCTCGCTACGTAAAATTACTGCGTCGCCGCGTTGCCAGATCGGCTTTTTCCGGTCCTCTCTCCCACCCGTCCCCAAGCCATGCATGCAACCGGCCCGTCCTGCCCTGCGGACCCCTCCCCAGGTACGAGGGCGGCTGCAACAAGGCCTACACCCCCGCGGACCTGAGTCACGTGCGCTGCATGAGCTGCGGGGACCGGGGCCATCTGATGTGCAAACCGGCGCCCAAGGTGGGGGAAGAGCCTTGGGTGGGAGGAGAGCGGCGGCATGCAGCCGTGTGGGCTTGGGGGACTTCTCGTCCCTCCCTGGGGCAGTAGCCACTGCCTGGAAAGTAGCGGTTTCCTGGGCGCCTCAAGTGAAGGCTCTTACGGCCTAAGCTTCCCAGCCTGCGGGCCATGTAGCACGTGGGGGCTTGCCCACTTCCAACACATGGTTCTCCTACCACCCATGCCCCCTTGTCATAGCCCCCTTGGTACTTTGGACGCCGGCTGTCGTATCCTTCACTTTTTCGGATATGTATGTATTTCCCTCCCCCCCCCCTTGGTCATCACCTGCCTCATGGAACGTGTGCGTGCGCATGTGTGTGTACGTGTGTGTACCGGTCTGCAGGAGACCTCTGTGCCCAGCTGCTACAACTGCGGGCGGCTGGGTCACTACGGCGAGTGCTGTCCCTCCGGCACCAGGCCGCACCTGCTGGCGGAGCGGCGGGGCGACGAGGAGCGGGCTGCGGCTGAGTTGCTGGAGTATGAGATGCAGATGGAGAGGTGCGTGGAGGGCGTGGTGGGGTAGGTCGCATGCAGCGAGAAGCAAAGGATCAAGTAAACTGCATTCCTCCTTGTGGAAACGGAAACTTCTAGAACTTTATGCCGCTCCTTCCTGGTGCGCAGAGAGTTTGAGGAGAGGCGGAAGCGCGAGCAGCAAAGGGGTTACGGCGGCGGTGGGGGAGGGTACGGCGATGACAGGTACCGCGGCGGCGGTGGACACGGCGGGGGAGTGTACGACAGATACCGTAATGATGGCGGGGGGGGCTACGGCCAGGATCAGCGACGGGGCGGCGGCGGGGGCCTTGATGTTGTTGGCGGCGTGTACGGCGGAGGGTACGACGGCGGAGCCCAGGCCGGCGGGTACGGAGCCGCGGGAGGCCGCAATGTGCAGATCCCTTGGAACTACGAGTCACGCCGAGATGATTGGTAGGCGCGGTGTGTCTGTGTGTATACATCCATATCTGCTTACCCTAACGTTCATGCCGTATTAGACAACACGAAACTGCACTCGGCGTGGCGCGCGGTCCTGTGCTATGTATCGGAGTGCCCATATATTCCTGTACGTGGTCGCAGTCGCAAGGCGGGTCTGGTTGCAGCATAAGCAGCCGTGCTGTTGTAGCCCTGCTCTTTGTTCACTGTACAAGCAGTATGGCATGGGCTTGCGTTTGTGGCTCGGCCCTTTTTGTAACAACATATGAAGGCCGCCCAGCCCCTTCGGAGCGCTCGTTGAGCTGCTGCTGGTTGGGTTCTTTCCCGCTACCACAGGAAGCGCACCAAGCAGGAACTCAAGGAGTTGAGGTTGAGGTTTTTCTTCTGCGCATTTTCACTTCAAGTAAAGTAAACTCATAATGCATACCGCCACCCGTTGTTTTTCTTGTTGCTGCGTTGCAGGAGAGGGGGCGTGGGTGGAGACGGTGGTGGTGCGCCGCGGCGCTACTCACCTGAGCCGTATCCCCGGGCCGGCGGGGGCGGGGGCGGCAACCAGCACTACGAGGACCGCCGCGGTCCCCGGACATCTAGGTGGTAGTACGACTAGGTGGTAGTACGAGCAACTGCTGGAAGGGGAGGTTGGCGGCAAGCAGCCGGTTGATGTCACGCTGTGGGAATCGGATACTGCATTACCCGTCTCTTGAGGAGGAGGAGGAGGAGGAGGGGGTCGGCTGGTTCGCCTTTCACCGCGGGAGTGTGACATGGACAGTGCCAGCCCCTGCCACCCCTGGCGATGGGCGGGGTGGGGGAAGGGTTGGGCTAAAGGCCGTGGGGGGAGGTGCCCCGCTGGGAGCTGTGTGCCCGATCCTGTGTGCCATCAGGTAAAGACCCTGAAGCAACGAATAGTGACTGATTATCTTGCGTGGGGCCACATGCGTTGTGGTGTGTGGGCTGGATTGGGTCAGGGATGGGAATATGGTGGTGATTGTTTTGGTGACTCTTACGGGTATTAGTATATGGGGGAGGACGTATGCAGGAGGACGATGTGTCGTGGCGCAAGGAGCTGCATGCCGCCTTTTGCGGCTTGCGGGTTTACTGCTGCTTCGGACAAAGATGAACGGCGTAATATTAGGACTGTGTAGTCAATCGGTGTTCATTATTGCGTGACAATGCTCGCTTTGCGGGTAATCTTGCGGGGCGCCGCGAAGGCGTTTCTGTCGTGCACTTCCAACGGAAAACGGTAGCCCAGGACGTCCCAAGACGACAGTTCACTGGCCGTTCACAGACCGTGTTAAGGTTTTTTGAAGTGTTTGGTTCATGGATGTCATACATCGTTCCCTCACGACCCGAGGAGACAAGTTGTCTTGTCCATGAAGCTGCTGATTTAACCTCGACTTTTGCGAATTTTGCTTAAAAAGCTGGTGTAACCCGAACTTGATGTACATATTGTTTTGATTATAATAATGCATGCATTACGGCCTCTGCGCGCTGGGCGTCCGTCGGGGTCTTGCCGAACGCCAGCGAGGACTCTTCGGGGTCGGTACTTACCGGTTACGTGCTCTGTAACTACACCCCACAGTGGATATCACTTTGATGGGACACCACGGCGCTTTTTCGAGGGTTGGTATTGGAAGGTGCGTCATCGACGACGAGTGCCGAACACAGCTCCTTGGCGGAATCGTTTCAGGTGGCAAATCGACACCCAACAGCCTTAAGTATGTCGGTTCTACAATTTATTATTCCACTTAATAACGGTCTGTCCGCGGTTGACTCCGATGCTGACGTGAACAGGTGATGATGCCGGAGTCTGGCCAGAGTTTTGCGCTTATTTACTCTATCGAAGATCCGCTCGGCAATACGCCCCAAACAGGAATCGGATTGCAGGTGAAACTGGGTTTCACGGATTGAAGTCCAGCTCCTGGACACAGCCTGGTGCTTGTGTACACCCCTTCCCACTTTGACTCTGACCGCCCTTCAATCCCTGACCCGCGGCAGCGCCCCAACCCCGATCCTCCCCAGCTTCCCAGCCCCTCTCACAGCGCCACGGGTCACAGCACCGGCGACAAAACATCTTCTCACAAATGCAAACCACTCTTGCCGGCCATCACATCCCTACTGGTCCTTGTATAGCCGCTGGTCACAAAAATTAGAACAACGCACGACGCACAAACACCCCAACCCCAACTGAGCCAAAAGCTGTAAAGAGGCACTACCCAAATCACCACGATCTAAGAGCTCCATTAGGCGCATATATCCGGTGTCGCGCTACCGCTGCTGCTGCTGCTGCTGCTGCTCCACGTGTCCGGCGCTCCCTCGACCCCCCCCTCGGGGGCTCGCAGCTGGCTGCTAAACCCCGATGCCCCCTGGCTCCCCCTCCTCCGATCAGGTGATGGGCCCCAACGACGGCTACATCTGCCAGTTCACTTCCGACGTGTCGTCCTTCTGGGCAGATCCGCACCATCCCGCGCTCGGGGCCACATTCAAGACCTCGAACACGGCACGCGTCGCCCCGAAAGACATACTGCCGCAGGTAACGCAACCAAGTACGACAATGTCTGCAATGTACGACACAGAAAACGGCGTCACGTTGTGTGCTATGGTGATGGTGTGTGCTATGATACAGTGCAAGCTGTGTCATCCTTTCCATTTCCCACATCCCTCCTCTGCCGGCCCTCATTTTCCTGGAGGTTCCAACCAGGTGGGACTCACTCCGTATCATCTCACCTCCACCACTACTGCCTGCCACCACCCCGTCCCAAACCCCTCCTCTTCTCCCCCTGTCCACCCCCTCCTTTCTTATCGCTTTGGAATTCAGCAGTTCAGTAATATATTTCGGTGTCGGCAGTTTACTACTCGATGCTTTTGTTGCGGCATCTGATTCCCCTTCCCTCACCCCCTCACCCCCTCACCCCTCCCTCACCCCCTCACTCCCACCCGTCCGCTCCCCAGGACCAGTTTCTGCGGGATGTGGAGCACGGCTTCCAAGCCACCGATGTGATGCACGTGGGCCGCATGGTGGCCCTGGAAACCGGGGCGGCCGGACCGCCCATGTCAACCGTACCCACCGCCTCATGGGCACTGACGATCAAGCCCAAGGTATGGCAGGGAATTTGGGAGGGGAAACTGGCGAAGTGTACGACGCGAAACGAAATGAAAGAAATGAGACAGAATGTCCACCTGCCCCTCGTCCTCCTGCTACTGCTGCTGCTGCTGCTGCTGCTCTCCCTTCTCCCCCTCTCTCCCGCTTCCGTTCTTCCCCCTCCAGGCCGGGTGGGGCCCCACACAAGCGGCCACGCAGAAGGCCACCGCGGGCTGGTTGTCCGTACTGCCCATATTTGAGCCCCACTGGCAGGTAGGAGGGCTATGTGTGTCTGTATGTCTGTATGCCTGTGCGTTAGTGTGTGTTTATGATCTGAGTCGCCGCCGGCAGGAACTGGCGAGGGGTTGTCATTACCAGGAACAGTAACTCCACCGGTGCACATCTGGTGTGCCTTTGCCACCACAGCACATCTCCCACCCACACAACTTATGTCAAATGCACACATCACGAACCCCCAGATAATCCCCTGGGGCTCACATCCTCCCTCGCCTCCCTCGAACCCGGCCCTCCCCCTCCCCCGCCCGCTCTCCCCCCCTCTCGGAGTGGCGAAGGTGTTGATGGCGCATGGTGAGGCCTCTGGCTGGCTGCAGTGGGGGGGTCAGCGGTACCAATTCTCCGGAGCACCCGCCTACGCGGAGAAGAACTGGGGCGGGGGCTTCCCGTCCAAGTGGCACTGGATCCAGTGCAATTCCTTCGACGGGTGAGCCGGCTGGCTGGGGCGGGGGCGGGGGCGGGGGCGGGGGCGGGGGCGGGGGCGGGGGCGTGCGCGCACACTCGGTCTCCTCCTCTCAAAACACAAGACTACTGAACGCCCGTTCCCGACCACATCCATTTCCCCCCGACGCGCACATACACACATACATACACACATACACATACGGGCGAGCGCACCCACGGCTTAGATTATTAGAACACGCACACGCAGATGCACACACACACACACACGCTCCCCCCCGGCACCCCCTCTTTCCCCCAGGCAGCCCGGTCTGAGCGTGACGGCAGTGGGGGCCCGCCGTGCCCTCCTGCTGGGGCTCCAGGGCGTGGAGGAGGACGTGGGCCTTATCGGGGTTCACCTGCCGGGGGGGGAGTTTGTGGAGATGGTGCCGTGGAACAGGTGTGTGTGTGTGGGGGGGGGGGGGGAGGGTTAGGGTGGAGGGCCTTATGGCGGCGGCGGATGTTGGAATGGTTTTTTTTCCGGGATTTGTTTTGGCGATCGATCGTGTGTGCCGGGAGGTGATGTGTGCTTTTGTGTATGTGTATTTGTGTGAGTATGTGTGAGTATGTATGCGTGTATGTATTTGAAGGTTACAAATATCTGACCGGGCCTGACACTGATGCCCAGCCCCAACGGAAAGACCGCCTAAGTTCTTTCCCGCCGATGGGAGAGGGGCGCGAGGCCCCCTCTCAGGTCCGTTGGCTCCGCTATCCCACCCCCCCCCGGGGAGGGGGAAGGCATCGCACACGCGCACGCTCCCACGAGTCAAGGCTCCGCCACACATGTGTGTGTGTACGTATGTGTGTCCCTCAACGCTGTCCAGGTGTCCGGGGGCCCAGGGGGAATGGTCCCCCTCCGCAACTTCCTGTGTCTTCCGCACCCTTTAACCCCGAACGCACCGGCCCCATTCTCTGCCCCCGCCTCTGCCGTCTGTCTATCCGTCTATTTCCGGTATCTGTTTCATACGCCAATGGTTCGTCTCACCCCCCCGAACTGACCCCCACCCGGCTCTTCCCGGCCTGTCAGTGAGTTGGAGTGGGATGTGGACCCGTGGGGTCGCTGGTGGCTGAGGGCAGTGAATGAGCGCTTCGAGGCGCTCGTGGAGGCCACGTGCGCGCCGGGGGCGGGTGCCGTATTGAGGTGGGCTCGTGTGGGGGTGTGGGGGTGTGGGGGTGTGGGCTGTGTTAGTGTTCGTGTTTTGAACTCCAAACTCAGCCCAACGCTGGCAGTATTGATCCTTTGCTTGTTACATTGCATGTAATCGGCCCTCCTTCCCATTTCCCCCCCCCCCTAAACACACACACGCACACGCAGGGCCCCCACCGCGTCCATGGGTTTGGCTCCCTTCTGCAAGGACACGTTCGCTGGCCGGTGCCGCCTGCGGTTGTGGCGGCGAGTGGGCGGTGCCAAGCAAGGGGGCCCTGCGCTGGTGGACGCTACCAGCACAACAGCGGCGCTGGAGGTAGAGGGCGGAAGGCTGTGCGGGGGAGGGAGGCTATCGGGGCTGTTTAACCCTTAGTTGCTCCGGTTTTGCATAACGATGTCATTTGATTCATTCCCCCCCACCCGCCATTTCTCCCACCCTCTCCCGTTCTTGACTGGAAATGTATCTGCCACGCCCTCCCACACGCCCTCCCACACGCCCTCCCACACGCCCTCCCACACGCCCTCCCACACGCCCCCCCACACGCCCTCCCACACGCCCTCCCCAGACGCCCTCCCACACGCCCTCCCACACGCCCTCCCACACGCCCTCCCACACGCCCTCCCACACGCCCTCCCACACGCCCTCCCACACGCCCTCCCACACGCCCTCCCACACGCCCTCCCAGACGCCCTCCCACACGCCCTCCCACACGCCCTCCCACACGCCCTCCCACACGCCCTCCCAACCCTGACCTTTTCTTCCCTTTTTCCTCTCATCCCCCTTCCTTGCACGGCCACCCACTCCCTCCCCCCTTCCCCCCTTCCTCCCTCCCGCCCCCCAGGTGGGCGGGGGCCCATGGTGGAGCTCGTGGAGGGCGCGGGCGGAAATGAAGGAGCCGTTCAGGTCCCTGATACGACTGCCGCTGGACGTAGCGGGACTGGGGAAGCTGGTTCCGGAGCCGCTGCGGCCACCCGGGCTGTAGCACAGCTGCGCAGGGGCCCGGCGGTTTTGATTAGTTCCTCACTTAGGATGGAGGATGGAAGGGATGGTTGAGGCGGGTGGAGGGGAAATCAGCTGTATTCCTGTGCACCTGTGCATCACTACCCGGTAATGGTAATTTCTTGGAGGGCAGGACGGGGCAGGGCAGGGCGTATTCTGGGGCGCGCGGCGCTGCTGAAGAGTATGTGTTGGTGGGGGGGGAGGGGGAGGGGAGTGGTGGCAGGGGAGTGGTGGTGGGGGAGTGGGGGAGGGGAGTGGTGGCAGGGGAAGGGGAAGGAGCGCTGTGCCGCGTAGTGTCGTGTCGTGTCGTGTCGTGTCGTGTACGATTTTTGGTAAAGTTTTTGGTGAAAATTTTGGTGTAATTTTTGTATTTTTGCAGTGCGGGGTGACGTCTTTTTGTTGGTGGATCATAAGTACAGCATCCGTAATGTGCGGTGCTGTCTGGGTCGGACTCTTGCCAGGGTGTAATCCCGCACGTCCGTGACTCTGTTGTGAGTGCAGGCGAAAACCGTTGTGTGTGATGAGACGTTGCGCGTGAGTGTACGACTATGTGTTGTAATGTCGTGCGGTTATCGTACTTGATTTGTTGTTTGCACAAAAGCGTATTTGGAGCGGTGTCACCCGTCGTACATATTTGGCGTCATTGCATTCCTTCATACAACACATCCCATTCTTGTGCGCCATGCCGGGTAGGTGTGTTTTATGCTCGCTGCTGTCTAACCCAGCAACCGGGGGGTTTATGTACGACAGTCCGCCTCAGTGCCTCTTATTCCTCGGTGTCTCTATCTACTAAGCACCCGCGTGTGTGTATATGTACGTATGTATGTTTGTTTGTGTGTGCGTGATGTGGGTTGTAGCGGTATGGGGGCTCTCCTTACGGTAGCGGAAGTCCGTGGAGGGAGGGATTGGGCCTCAGCCTTTTGATTGGACCCGTGGGCTCCCAGCAGGCCGTCAAGCCGCGAGGGCGGGGTGCCCCCTCAGCACCGAGCTGCCAGCTGGGGTTGAGCTGCGTCGGATAGGTTGCGGCTCCTTGCGGCTGGGCTGGTGGGGAGGGGCCGGAGGATGCGTGCGGTCCCGTACTGTCGGCCTGTTGTCCCCTTACGGACCCCTCTGGAGGGTAACGGCCAGGTAGCGCAACCGCAGCAGCAGCAGCAGCAGCAGTACGCACGCACGTCATCCTCAACATCGGGATCATCTCGGCGATGACGAAGCAGCGAAAGTCAGGACAACAATTCAATTCAGTGACTTACTCGGGGGGGCGATATGGCAATGACTTCGAACACCGCGCCGTGATCGCCGTTGCCAGTGGGTATATGGCAGTACGGTGCCTATAATACTGACAGGCGGCGCCGCCGGCCCCGGCCACCCCGGGAGACAAAGGGTCGCCCAAGGGGAAACAGTAACAGTAGTTCCCTTGCCGACTGGCCTACAATTGGAAAGGTAACTCAAAAGAGGTAACTTTGCACAGAGGACATTGGCAGTCCGACCCGGCCTTGATCTGCAACATGGCGGGCTGTTGCGGCCTTCTGAAGCTACCCGAAGGTACCCAGATGTGTCGTACCGGCGTCGGTCACCATCCGCGTAAAGCACTGCGGTAGACGGCCTTGGCGGCGACGACACTCGCGAGAGGCGGCGACAGTCTGGAAGACATACTCCGTATTGAAACACACGAACCCTAATGAAGCTTAACGGACGGAACAGGGGAGCACGAGCCGGTAATAAACCCGCTCCGCGAACAGCGGAAATCCAAATGACTCGACGTCGATTTTCAGTATGTCAATTTTATGCTCGCCTAACACCGAAATAAACTGGCTGTACGTCACAAATGCAGGGTCTCGCTGCGCTGCGGCAGCTGAACCCACGCACAGTTTGTGGAAGGAGTGGCGGTCTGAGAGCTTCTTGCCCTCCACCGTGCAATCTAGGGTGGCGACCTTGCAGCGCGTCTCATTCAAGATGGCCTCCTCGAACCTGTCGTACATTTGACAAATTAGCAGGTACGAAGGCATGCAGATAGACACACAGGTGGGTAGACAGGCAATTAGGTTGGTAGGCAGTAGATAGGTAGGCAGGTCACATGTGGCTATGAGGGTCTTTCCATTGGCCAGCGGCTGGGAAGTTCCTTAAGTTCTATGGAGAAGTTAAGAAATTTCCTTCATTTCACTTTCCATTCGGCCCACTTTACACAACTTTTATCAGACGTACGGATTGTAAGAAATTGCTCACTTTTAAGCTACGTTAGCCCTCGAGCACATTACTACTGTTGCCCAGCTATGTGTGTGACTAATTACATTGATCGATACTCGTTTCAAATGTCTCTTTCATTTTCTTCGACGTTTCTTGCTTTCTCAGGTGGCATATATGAGCTCATGGCACTGTACCTCAGCCACTGTACCACACTGTACACTGTACCACAGTCCTATTTGCCTACAAAACCATGTGAACAGATTCCTTTATCCTTCACCATCAAGGAAATCATCAATGAAATCGCGTCCTGCTAGCAAAATGCAAACGTGGCTGGTCATTCGTGAACAGTACCTCATGAGGTTCTGGCTCGTGTTCAACGAGCAAAGTCGACCAGCACATGGTAACAGTTTTTGAACCACATTTCGTTTAGTGATGAGTCCTGTCGCAACGCAAAGTTGGCTTCCCTCTGTGCAGTTTTGTCGCGTTCGCGGCACCTCTTTGGAAACATCTTTTAAGGGGGCTCGCTAATACATGCACAACATAAGCTACCAAAGGCTTGTCCGTTACTTTTCTTGAAAAGTTTCTTATTCACGCCACCGATACCGGTACCAGTACTGACTGTAATCCCGTTTGCCTGACGGAAAGAATACACTCTGATTTACTTGGTAAGCCATTAGTTCCTACGCATCCATATAATAGTCCCAAAAACGCATTCTGTGTTGCTGGTCCCCGTACCTGAAGGCCCCTTGCGCTATCTTAAACAAAGCGCGTGAATCATTTAGAGTATCTGATTAGCTTGTATTTCCCGGGCTGCAATACAATACCTCGTGCTTTATGACGTTTCCGTACGCCCTGCATACGGCTTATGGTCGCCGAGTAACATAACGCTATGACACTACCGTTACGCTGATACAGAAGTTACTACGAACATAGTGCAGGTGGTGCGAATGGGCGACATGAGAGTTAACTTCGCTTCAAGACTGATCCGTTTATTATGGGGAGGGCTTTACGTGGCGACTGTGTCCGCTTCTTTCTCAAGTACTCACAGCTTTGAAGCGCAAAAATCCCTACGTTTTGCTGCTTATGACGACGAATGGGGGCTCCTTGCCGCCCGAAACTTGTCTGCTTGGCGCTCGCACCTCTTTGTGGCGACAGAAAAGGTTAGCTGTCCAAGTTATATATTCTGGATCCATAAATGTTTAAATATATGTGTCAGCAGCCGCAAAGAAGTTGACACGGAATGGTTACGATACAACGAGCGGAGTTGTTGGTGCAGAGCCCAGCCAACGCTTACAGGCAGATGGCTGATTAAGTACGCTCAACCACATAATCTTGGCGACTAGCAGTTGGAAGTTCGCCGAAAAACACCGGCTGGCCTTCCCACCAGCACAGGCGACCTAACCGTCATGGCCCTGTGACGCTCCGGGGGCCGCCTTTCCCCCACTATCAATCCCACACGCGACATCATCATGCCTTACTAGATGTGTGTTGGCAAGAAGAGCGTCTGTGCCGGTAGGGTATCTCCGCCGCTGTCTACCTATGGATGCTTATGTAACATGTCGAGGGAAGCTTGAATATCGGATGTGTGAGGCCCCAATTGCATCACAGGACACGACTCACCGTCATATTCTTGCAAACGATGGCAACCGGGCCCGGCAGCACTTCACATCCCTCCTCTCTGATCCCCCCTTCTTCCGCGCCCAGTACATCGTCTCTAAGGGCAACACCGACAAGCCGAAGGACTGGGACCGCTTCCAATTGTTCCAGCCCTTCATCAGCTGCCCGCCAGGGCGGCCGCTGCGGCGTGTGGGTCCCGAGGGTGATGGCGGCAAATGGCTCTGTGAGCCCGCTGCCCTAAAGGAACCGTGCACCGTCGTTTCCATGGGCAGCAACATGGATTTCAGGTAGGCGTGGTATCTAATGGAAAGATCTCCGCTAATAGCTAGTTTACTTTGGGCCAAGCCCAATCGCTTAAAATAAAGACCACATATTTTGACAATTTGTGCGTGCATTGAACTCCGACCGCATTCCGTCGCACCGCTGCCGTTTATCTTAGAAAACAAACAAGGACAACGCCGCTCGTGTTGCTCGCCCGCTAGCAACCACAAATATTACAAACAGGCAACCAAACGTAATATCAGGGCTGAAGCCGCTGGGGAAACAGCAAGTCGGCCGCATGGGCAGCGCCGCATCGGCCCGCACGCCCCAGCATCAAGCAAAACGAATTTATTCCAATCCATATGGGAATATGCTGAAGTTTTGGCCATGGAAAGGCATAGAATGGAGATGGTTTACACAGCTCGCGCCAACGAACAATGTAATGTCCCATGTAAACTGGGTGACTTTCTCAGGGCCACTTTTACCTAAGCGTTTTCGCAACGTAACGTAGCATGTAAATCCAGTATAAGGCGCACTGGGTGCTGGAGGCCATGGACTATGTACATCTTAAAAGTTAATTCCACCGTACAACCGATGGTGGTTTTGGGTCCTGGTACCTGCTACTAGATCCCTCCTCATCCAGTCACCCGACATCCAAGAGAGCCGTCGCCACCAATTCAGCATGCGAAACTTAGTCCATCAACTAGACCTCATCTCCACAGCCTCAGCAACAATCCACTTAATACTCCACCTAACTGTCTGGGGTCTGCACAGGAAGCAGATGAAGGTCTCGGGGACTCAGTTTGATATGTGCCGCGGCCGACATCTGAAACCCGACATGTGTGCCCTTGTAGTACCCAGCTGCAGGCGGGGGCGGGGCCTGCAAAGAGTTGGAAGTTGGAAATTCGTTATACTGATGATATGCGCTAACGCTGCGGTTACTATGCTTTTGCTGCTACTCCTGCTGCTGGTGCTGTTGCCGCTAATATGCCAAATGTACAAATGTACGACAGGTTCGAGGAGGCCATCCTGAATGAGACGCGCTGCAAGGTCGCCACCCTAGATTGCACGGTGGAGGGCAAGAAGCTCTCAGACCGCCACTCCTTCCACAAACTGTGCGTGGGTTCAGCTGCCGCAGCGCAGCGAGACCCTGCATTTGTGACGTACAGCCAGTTTATTTCGGCGTTAGGCGAGCATAAAATTGACATACTGAAAATCGACGTCGAGTCATTTGAGTTTCCGCTGTTCGGGGAGTGGCGTGAGCACTCGCGATCCCTGCCCGAGCAGATTGCCGTAGAAGTGCACTGGCATGAGGCTTACCTCAGGAATTTTGAGGCAGACCTTCAATCGCACTGGGGTCGCGGTGAATTTGGCGTGACGGATCTGGCGTTGTTCTTCCTCCACCTAGCAAACCTGGGCTATGGCATTGTCAGCCAGGAGATAAACGAATTTTGTCCGTCGTGCTCCGAATTTACATTGGTACGGGTTGAGGCATCAGTGCCGTACGGCGGCAATGGTGCCGTGCATACGGGATGGCACGGTGCCTAAAAGAATTTGCCTTAGTTAGCCTTGGACTGTTTGTCGTGTGAGATGCAGGGGCTGGGCAAGGATATGGTGCGCCAGAATGTTCATCGCCCACATGGGTTCGCGCGTTTGCGTCTGCGTGGTATGATCGTGGTTCCTTCAAGCTGTGCCCATTGCGGTCGATCACCAAAAGTTTGCGTTCCAGGCTCCACGCGTACTACTCTGTCTTCTGCGGGAAACTGATTCTACCCATAATTTAAAATTTAACCATTAATTATAATTCTAAGTTATAATTTAACTGTTAATGAAGGTGAGAGCCTTCTTTTTGTAATCTTGCCTATGAATGGTGCCACTGTCTCAGTAATCATACAAGTCTATTATTACGAATTACGAAATACGAAATACGAATAAAGGTTTTCGTGGATTTTTATGCCGTTTCTGTACTCAGCTACCGAATTAGATTGACTATCGGTTCTTTCATTACATGTTTTTGAGCATTAGTTTTTGTGAACAGTCAGATATCTAGGAACAAGTTCGAACAAGTTCGACCCACTAAAAGTTAATTTAGTTTCATGTCAGTGTTTCATTCTCATCGTTAATATTGTACGCCGAAGAGGAGCTGCGCCCCAATAGCAACACATATTCATATGTAGTGGTGGAGACGCCATATAGCTTTTTTATATTTGCAGTGTAGTTATAAATCTCATGCTACGCGTATGTCGGCTTGCTCACCTGAAGAATTGTTGCTATGTAGTGGGTGTGCAGCCTATGTTGTGACGATACTTATGAGAAATGACGAGCACGGTGAGGAATGAGGTGCGATAAGCTTACAATGAGCAAAGCTACCTGATGAGTTGTGCAAACTCCACACTACTACAACATTCTTCGTCTTGTGCCTGATTGTGCCTTGGTAGCTGAAAGGCCGATTCTTCGCCTGGTTTGCCTGGGATGTGTTCGGGCAATCCTGCGATGCATTTGGAAAAGCCTGAGCCTTGTCCGAAAACACAAACACGGCAATACAAGCAGCATAAACGTGCTCCTCTCCCTCGTCTCCCTCTCTCCCTGAACGCGTCTCCTCTCCCTCGTAGGAACGGGGTTGACCACGGGGGAGATGGGGATGGGGTGTGTAAACGGAGACGCGTGGACGTTTTCCGGGAGTTCCGCGGACCGCGAACGGGAGCGGTTGCGGTTGGAGTCCGTGGGAACGAGAGCCATCGGAGGATGAGGGAGACGAGACGAAGACGAAGACGAAGATGACCAGCGAAGCGTGAAGGCAGGATCGCCTAACAGGGTGTTTCCACTTGGCCGAACACTAACACTAAGTTTGAATGTTCTTCGTCCTGGACTCGTTTCTCGCCGTTCTAAATGCATATATTGATACTACTAATGATAATAGAAAATATTCATCAAACAAATTGGAGGTTGGGGCACTCCTGGCGGAGAACCGTAAGGCCTAGTGGAAACACCCCGTACACTAAGTCCACACTAGCGCACACTAAAGTTCCGTCAGACGGCAAGCAACCAGGAATCCACATGGCGAAGTATAAGCATTGGATGGGGTTGGCGGCCGAGCAAGCGGGCAGGAAGGAGGCGCTCCCGCACATCACAATGTTTATCCCACGTTCGGCGAATCGCAAGCTTACAGGGTGTTTCCACTTGGCCGGACACTATCTTCGGTACACTATGTGCTAGTGTGGACTTAGTATAGTGCTAGTGTGACGGTGTTTCCACTAGCGGCACTAAGGAGCGCCGAAACCAAAATTGTTTTCGTATTATGAATGTTTTAGCGCCAGGGATTAATTGCTGATAATTAAGCATTCGCGTAGTTAAGATCCGCTGCGGCGCAACCTGCGTCATGATGTCCGCCATGAAGTCCGCATGGTGCATTGGCAACGGCCGGCCAGCGAAGGAAGGCAAACGAGCAGTATATGTTTGCTGAACGTTATTGAAGGAGGGCTCCATTGCAAAATGGCGGTGTTCTGAGGCTGTCGGTGTTGGGCGTGCGCAAGTCAACGCGGCGTTTGCAGGAAGGAAAAAAGATAGCTGCTTACGTCTAAAGTCTATGGTCAGAAGGGAAATCCAGCTCATAAAAGTTGCCCGCCAAATAGTTAGTGCTAGGTACTAAAGTTAATGGCAGGTCTGAGGTCCAATTAACTTTAGTGTGCGCTAGTGTGGACTTAGTGTACGGGGTGTTTCCACTAGGCCTTACGGTTCTCCGCCAGGAGTGCCCCAACCTCCAATTTGTTTGATGAATATTTTCTACTATCATTAGTAGTATCAACATATGCATTTAGAACGGCGAGAGACGAGTCCAGGACGAAGAACATTCAAACTTAGTGTTAGTGTTCGGCCAAGTGGAAACACCCTGTTATGCAGTTTAGGCTTTGCTGTTGGGCACTGGCGGCTAACAGAGCGCGTAAGGGACGGCATTATATACCTAGGGAGGAGCGAGTATGCCCTTGCTGCGGCACTGATAGCCACATCGAGGATGAGAAACACATTTTGCTGGATTGTCCGGTTTACGACGAAATCAGATCTGATATGGGCCTTCCACGCTTCGAGCATATGAAGGACGCTACGAAGTGGGAACCTGAACGCCTGGCAAGGATGCTGGAACGTATATGGTCTCACCGCAACTCTATCGTTCCCTTTGGTCGTTAGTATACTTCATCACTTGTCTCGTTGGAAGTGCGAGGTAGGATGGTGCTTATTGGCGATTTGGTAGCCCTTGAGCCCTCGGCTCGTACTAGGGTAGTTTGCAGGTACGGGGAACGCACCCACGACCATGTAACAACAACAACAACAACAACAACAACAACAACAACAGGACCTTTCGTCCAGCATGGACACGTGGATCCGCAGCCAATGCATGGAGGCACCATCGGCCGAAGACAACCCAGCTGGCCTGATCGCCTGGTGGCCAGGCTTCAAGCGCCGCCTTGCCACCCTGGCCCATCGACTCAACAAGGCAGCACAACAACGCCGACGACGGCCTGGCACCCGTGCCCGGGAAGCAATTGCTGCGGTCCAGCGGGCTCAGCAAGCAGTCGATGCGGCGCCCACAGCACCCCAGCCACTGCAGCAGCTAGTGGACGCACAAGCAGCACTGGCTAGGGCGCACCAGGAGGATGGCAGCATGGCAGCCAAGGAAGCACGGGCCCACTGGCTCCGGGCAGGGGAACGGACCGGCCCTGCCCTGACAGCCTTCCTTAAAGCCCAGGCGGCCGAACAGCAGCCTGCCCCAGTCGCACTCCAGGCGCACAGCGGCCGCCTAGTGACCAACCCAGCACAACTGCCGCAGGTCGTGGCAGACTACTGGGCTGAGATCAGCCGAGCTCCTGACTTCATCAGCCCCAGTGCCCAACAGGAGGTACTTGCCCAGCTGTCTGCGGCCAACATCAGCCTCCCTGCAAACGCAGATGAACAGCTTGGCTCCAAAACCATCACAGCAGCGGAGCTACGGGTCGCACTGGTCAAGAGCCAGCCCGGCAAGGCACCAGGATGGGACGGCATCCCAGCCGACCTATACCGCAAATTCTGGTCCACCATTGGCAACACCATGGCGGGCCTCTTCACCGCCATAGGCGCAACGGGGCAGGTGCCGACCGGGTTCCTGGAAGGCATTATCACGGTGCTCTACAAGAAGGGCGACCCCAAGCAACCCGGTAACTACCGCCCTATCACGCTACTATGCGCCGACTACCGCCTGCTCGCCAAGGTACTGGCCAACCGCCTGGGGCCGGCCCTGGGGCGCATCATCACCCCCGAGCAGTCGGCCTTCCTCCCCAAACGGCTCATCGGGGCCAGTGTGATGTTCCTGCGCCACCTATCCCACCTCCTCCGCAAGCAGAACCGCCGGGGTCTCCTGGCGTTCCTGGACTTCGCGAAGGCATATGACACGGTGGACCGCGACTTCTTGCTAGCTGCGATGGAGGCGATGAGGGCGGGCCCGCAGCTGTGCAGCTGGGTTCGGCTACTGCTCAGCAACACGCAGGCACGAGCCATGGTCAATGGCTTTAAATCAAGGCTGGTTGGGATGGAGGCAGGCGTACGACAGGGGTGCCCCCTCGCGCCTCTGCTGTACCTCTTCATCGCCCAGGCCCTGCTCTGCTGGCTCCGGAGCCGAGATGTGGGGGTCAAACTACGGCCGAATGACCAGGACCGCGTCACAGCCTGCCAGTTCGCGGACGATACTGAAGTGGCGCTGGAGGGCGAGGAGTCAGTACCGTCGTTCCTAGAAGCCATGGAGACCTTCGCAAGGGCGTCAGGCCAGCGCCTCAATGTGGAAAAGGTGGAGCTGTTGAGGGTCGGTGCTGAGAACCAGCAACAACAGCAGCAGCCACAACCGGCGGGTAGGCAGCAGCTGCAGCAGCCACTACACCAACAGCCGCAGCAGGAGACAATTGGTGGACTCAAAGTAGTCACCACCGCCACAGCCCTGAACTTGCCGGTAGACAACCGGCCCACACCCCCGCAACCCGAATGGCCCAAGATGCTGGCAGGCGCCTACAAGCGGATGCAGCGGCTCGCCCGCTTCCCACTGTCAGCCTTCGGCAGGGCCACCGCCACGTCCGCCTACGGCCTGCAGACGGTCACCTGGCACATGGAACATGGCGGACCCCCTCCAGACAGCACTCTGGACCACATCGAGCGGCTGACGGCCCGCCTGGTCGACCGGCAACAGGGCCCAGAAGACCCAGGCCAGCGTCTCACAGGTGTACCCGGCAGCCTTTTAGTAGGCCATCCGTCAACCGGGGGTTTCGGCCTGCTGCCGCTCCGACAGCACATCCACGCTCGCCACGCAGTCTGGGCCGTGCGATTCATTGCACAGGCACTACCGGCGGCAGGTTGTGAAGGTAGGGGTGCGGGAGGGGAAGTAACTGGGGGAGCAGGCGGGGACGAGGAGGTGGCAGCGGCAACCAACAGTGAGGCCCGGGGCCTACACCCCTGGGTACGCACGCTGTCCGCCTACCTGGAGCTCACCCACCCTGCACTCCAGCCTTGGGCTCTGACAACCGCCCGGG